CTTAATCACCTGGTAGGAAAGGCAGAGGAAGAAAGGGAACTTAGGTCTCTCAAAGCCCTAGGGCATTTGGGCATTTGTTCCATGCAGTATGAAGTGACATCCTGACCTCTCTGACCTTGCTGTAGTAATATAAATGCTGGAAGGGTTAATAATTATACTAATCAATGATAAATGAGGTCAACAGAAAGCTCAGAGAGTCAAATGCAAGAATAGAGAGGTTATGAAAAGAGTCATGGAGCATATCATTTGACTTGTTTTGAAGAGTTGCCTGTTAAAAATCTGTAATGATATTGAAGCAATTAAAGTAAAAATAAAACAAAATCTCCTTGCCGTTGCAGTACTGCAGTATACACTGTCTCTGTCAGATCTGCTGGAGGAATAAGGTTGCTTAATGACTATATCTGCTGCAAAGCAGTATGTCAGGGCTCTTTACAGAGAGCCTGCTAAATCAATAGAAAAGAGTGGAGAGAAATGTCCTTGAAAACTACATAACTCATTAGACACTGAAGTCAGTCTCTAACCCACAGCAGGGCAATAGACTGGGGACAGAAATGCTTTCAAATAACAGTCCTGCTTGATACAGGCTGCCTGGCCATGCAGTGGAGAAAAATTGAAGCACCAAAAGTTCCATGGTCACTTAAGGAAAAAATTCTTGATGGTGAGGGCGATAGAGCACTGGAACAGGTTGCCAAGTGAGGTGGTGGAATCTCCTACTCTGGAGATGTTCAAAACCCATTTGGCTGCAATTCTGTGTAATATGCTTTAGGTGATCCTGAGTGTGCAGGGGAGTTGGACTAGATGATGTCTAAAGGTCCCTTCCCACTCTAGCAATTCTATGATTCTGTGGGGAACTGACACTGGAAGGACTGAAGGGATTAAACACCTTTTATTGAAACTGGTGGGAAGGGATGCTTATTTACCTGTGCCAAGCACACTCTGAGACCAAGTCGTCACTAGTGAAGACCAAGCAGGGGAAAAATGGAGAAGCGCAAAAGCTGTCTGATATGGATCCATTCTGGTCACAATTCCTCCCTGCGCTCTTAGAAGCATGAGCACAGCTACACTAAAATACATTCATGCTGTTTTTGACTTGTTATTATTCTGTTTTTACCTGCCTGGACTGGGCACATAGAGAAGAGTTGAGAGGCAATATTGTCATGCATTTTAGTGGGATGCAACCCCATTCCCAACAGGACATTCAGGTCATCATCTTCATACTTCTTATCATCATCATCTTCATACTTCTTATCCTCTGGGCCCACAGTGGGCAAATCCCATTGGAGGGGCACTATCCCTAAGTTAAACTTTGGTACCCCTTTCATCCAGTATAATGGGAACCAAAAGGAGCTTCTAACCAAAGTCTCTTCTTATATCCATTGTTATGTATGGATTAAAAAACAAATCCCCGAATAAGACAAGTTGTAGTATTGATGCCCTACTATCTGGACCAGCCTTCCTCCCTAGGCAATGTTTTCTCTCTCTGAAGTACTAATGCTCTAAGATGCTGTATATCCCTTCCTCTGGCCCTTGATATTTGCTCTTGGGATATACAACTGTTATCTTATTTGGGATCCAAAAACTTCAATGGGATTTCCATTTTCGAGAGGCTCTGCAAACATCAGCAACATACCTGGGCAAAATTGCCAGGTAGTTAGTAAACAGAATAAGCAAAAGCCTAGTAAACTTCAACAAGAGATTTGCAGAGCTAAACTAGTCTTTATTCTCTGGAGATCCCAGCCTATGTTAGGATTGACCCACGAGGACCTAGATATCATAATGCATTGAAAACAGTCATAAGAACTATCTCTGCCAATCACAAAAGACATCTTGAAGTGACAGAGTTTCATCAAGTAGCTGAGGCTTTCTCAGGGTTTCAGAAGAGAACGTCTGGTGATGTTAGGACAAAAGTCTCAAGAAGTCAGATTAACTGTCTAGAATAAGCCCATTTGCCTACCAGACCTACAGCATAGTCCAAGGGAGAAGTGCTTTGTTGCTCTTCTTTCCCACAGTTACTAGGCTGGTCTAGGCATCTCATAAGCCATTAATAAGATCAGAAAATTTACTCAGCTTGCTTCTCCCCATTTCATAACATTCTCAACAAGCACAGATTTGTAACAAGAAAATGATTTGCTCATACTCTGCAGATTACCCACAAAACTTATTTCCTTTCTTCAATGAAATATAAAGTGATTTGAAATGAAAGGGGATATTTTTGACCCTGCTGTCTGCCTTGGCACTGGAAGCAGTGGCATCCCAGATCTGAAAGGGGGCATCCATGTGGAGAGAGAGAAAACCAGCAAACATATCTCCGGTGAAGAATAGCTCAGTCATCTCTGCAGTTCAAACAGCCAATCCAGCAAGTTCAGAAGAGGAATTCTGTGTCACTCAGCGTTTGGAAAACATGCCCTACCAAACGTTCTTGAAGCCCAGCCTGTGAGGCCTGGCTGYGCGAATCCTCCCTGATGTATTTGCAAGTCTTCTGCAAAGTGGTACCCGTGGAACCCTCCCTGTTGTGTTTTACAGCAATAAAGAGCTGCCGGTAGAGCGCTACCCTAGGCAAGCGAGCTCCCGACTGTCCCTCCTGCACTACTTGCTTGGGTTGGCCACCTCTCCACGATCCAAGCCTCAACATTTTGATCAGGATGTCACTGCAACCATGTCACTCATGTCTAGGTGTTGTTTCTATGTGGTGTTTCATTTGAATTTCTACATGAATAATATAAATTATACTTTGCATTTGATAAGAGACACTTGTAATGCAATATGTGAATAATAAATGGTGTTGATTATTATTTTTTTCCTACTGTTTCACAGTTGGCCTTTGTAATTGCCCTTGGCTCTGAGATGTTTTCTACATGGAAATTGTAAGCCTGTAATTTAACACGCAGATGGAAATGAGTTAGGTTTCCATAGTAATTGCCTAGTCCATGCCTGTTGAGGAAAGGCTTGGTGAATGTTCGGCCATTAATCAGAGTGCTTCCACAAACGGTTCATTCTCGCATGATGCCCCTAGTGTTTGCTCACCACTACTACCCTCAACTCTCTCCCACAGCTGCCTCTGCCTTGATGCTTTGATAAGCACCCTTGCATCTGCTCTTCAGGCTAATCCTTGCTAACTCCATTTGATCCTCACTATCCATTTAGCCTTGTTGACACCATCCTCTGTCTCCCTGGATATGTGGGCATCTTCTTTCCCATACTTATGTCATTAAGCCACTGGGGGCACTTTCTCCACTTTCTCCATACTCTTTTCTCACTGAGATGCCTTAACATCCTGTTACACACCTGCACACGTGTATTTGAACTCACACCTGCTATTCCACCACATCACTCTGCTCTCCACTATGAGGTTTGTTTATTAAAGTGCAAGACCATGTATAGACCAGACAGTATTAAATTCCTCCCTACAATGAATTACTTATGCACAGCAAATTATCTTGCTGGGCTGGGCAAAATGTGAGTCAGAGTATCTAGATGCTCTTCAGCCCAAAATGCACCACTCTGTTGTTGTCAAACTAACCAGGTGGAGTGATGTAGAGAACACATGAAGTGGATTGGCAGTCTACTAGAAACATGAGTGAGATGGGAACACAAGTACTTTTGATGTATCTGAACACCTTTATTTATTTATGAAGTAAGCTGAAACAGAATCTCACACCAGATTTCCAAAAAAGAGAAGCAGCAGCCCACTCAGTAATTGCATTTTTTGCTCCAAGTTCTTCCCTCAGCCTAGACTTTCCCCTCAATACCTTCTCTTCCATTAAGACCCAGATAAGATTGCCACCAGCTGACTGACACCAACAACAGCCTAACCCCACCAGCCAATGGACAGCAACATCCACCAAGCACCTCAACACTCAGACTCATCTGCTAGGAGCACCATAGCTAATGTTTAACATGTTCCTTCAAAAGTAGAGACTCAAAGAAAATGGAAGCATGGGCAATCCCTTCTCATAGGACATTTCCACATGTAACTGATTTGATCCACAACGCTGTCTTCACCAAACAGCACATCCATAGATTCTTTGACCCACAGAAAACATGTAGTCATGACAGCAGAGAGAAACAAACTCTTCTTCTCCTTGAAAAGCTTCTCAGGATTACCTGCAAAAAGTCTTAGACTTCTATGCAGTCAAAGCATGAACACTGCCATTATAAAAACTTATGCCCTTCACCATACTAAGTTGATGGTAAAGAAAATCATACTGCAGGACAGAAGATATGGGGAAAGAAGTACAGGAAAATGAGCTTACTTGTTCTTCAAAGACAAAAGTTCTCATAAGTCATTCAGACACATTAATGGATATAGCAGAAAACAAACAAACAAGAATAAATAGAACAGAACACAACACAACATATCCACTTTTCCATTCACAGAAAGATTTGCCTTTTACTCCAAGAGACCAAATGACACAGCATCTCTTGATTTCCTGGAACAGACATTTGTCTTTCACCATAACCCGTCAGCACAATCTTCCATGCATCAAGCATCACCACAGGACCTCATTCAAAACACCTAACACCAGAGGGAAATCAGCAGACAGGAAAAATCCTACTGTCTGTACACATCCCTGTTGCTGCTCCTCCTAGCACTTCATTATATTTCTTAACCAAGCGTTTCAAAATTCTCTTTTTTTTTTTTTTTTTAACAGTGTTTTTATGGCAAGGTGAGAAAGCCATGCCAGACAAATGAGAGAAATAACTCCTTTTGTAAATATGAGATTATTTTCTGTGCTGTGTTTGCTCCAGCTTTCTGTTCTGTGAGTATAGTACTCCTTTATGAGTTATTCTTTGCTTCAACGGGTGATTTACTTGGACAAAGTTTCCAGGCTCATGTTGCTGGAGATAGAAGATGGAAGGAGATAATCTTGCATCCATATTTCTGACCTTCTTTCCCCTTAAATTAAGAGCTTCAGTTTTTCCCCAAGGAGAGCAGCAGCAAACACCAGACACTGTATGCAATGTCCAAAATAAAACCATAGAGGGAGATAGAATGAGGCAAAAAAGAAATTAAAGGGGAAAAGAATTGGCAGTGACTGCTTGGCTGAGAGCGCTGGTGTACTGCAAATGGAGACCCTGACCATCCTCAGTGCCAACACAGTGCTCAGTTGCCTCTGATTATGGCTGCATGCAGGACCAGCTAGAAGTATGTGGACTCTGCGTGCTCTTTGTCTAGGTCACCACCTTTTGCTTTCACGTGTCCATTTTCAGAGCTCCTGTTGGCATTTTCACAGGACCTAGTGAAAAGAAAAAGAGTTAAAAAGCAGACAGAGAGCCATTCTGACTTGACACAAGCCTTGTCCAGCAAGCCTGGGGAAGGACATGTGGTATTCAAGCAACTTTCTTCCCATTCATCACAACAGACAGCCTCCAAAAGGAGTAAGGTGCAATGCAGCCGCATTTTGTGGGGATCAGGAACCTAGGGGATAGGTGATGTATAAAGCTGGAGGGCACGGCTACAATATTGGCACAGGAGGGTGACAACGTAAGTCCTGAGGAGACAATGGAACAATGAGAGTGTGGGGCCTTGCTGGAGTAGACCCATTCGTGGGCTAGAAGGAAGCAATGACCACTGTGGGTCTGAGACAGTCCCTTTGGGTTTGATTACAGAGGCAAATGACCAGAGCAATGATTGCAGGAGAGCTTCACATCAGCATGCTTGTTGAAGCAAAACCCGCATTTACTTGGTACCTTGGTGCACCCCAACAACGCACCTGTGCTGGGGAGCAGCCGCCGAGGTGTCATCTACGAGGTCCATGCCGCGGGTCTCGTGCAGCAGGAAGCATAGCAGCCCCGCCAGGACAGGGACGCTGCCAAAGATGGCCATGGGCACGGAGTGATGGTAGCGCGCGAGCAGGCGGATCAGCGGGGCGATGATCCCCGCTACCCGCGCTGACATGGAGCACAGCCCCACGCCGGTCTGCCTGCAGGGAGAGGTGATAGGGAGCACAAGCCAGGCCTCGGCCTGCCAGGCCCATCTGTGAAACTGCCCTGTGGCCTCCTTCACCTCGCCCTGATAAAGCTCCAACTACTGGGGCATGAAGGGCCCCGTTAGTGCACTGAGGCAGAGTCATGACAGGGATCTGCTTCAAGGATACCACATTCATGCTCCCACTGCTGAGGCCAGGGTCATCCCGCCGCAGGGAGGGCAGCGGGGAGAAATCTCACCTGACCACGGTGGGGAACAGCTCTGCTGTGTACACGTAGGAGGTGGAGAAGGAGGCCGAGGTGGCAAACTTCCCGATGATGGCCAGAACAGTGATCACCACGGGCAGATCTGAGAGGAGAAGAGGTGGCTACTGTGGCTTGGGGACCTAGCACCACTCAAAACGCGAGTGAGGGCTGCAATGGGCCACAACTGCACACCACACAGGGAGCCATCGCCTCTAACCAGAGCCTGAACCTGGACCAAAGGACATCTCCAGTCTGAGAATCACCTTCACGGCACTTTGCATTCATTTCACCACTCTAGACATCAGTCTGCCCAAAGGGAAACCCTTTCCCAATGGGTGGACGAATGTCCTCTCCTGTCTCCATACAGCTGGCAAGGGGAGAGCTGGCCGGTCCAGGAAGGTCCCCTTGACAGGTGAAACTGGCATGGGCCATCACTGTCCATACAGCACTATCAGAAAGGAAGCAATCCAGAGGACTAGCAGCAAACAAGCCTATTTAGAACCAAAGTCAGGAAATACCTCTGGGAATCACACAGAGAGGGAAGGGCTGCCTTCCATCACAGGGCAACACCTTGACAGACTTCCCCAGTGGAGCAGAAGTTCCATCCCTAAGGCTTCCACAGTGATCTCCGACAAGCAGTAGAAGAGTGCTTCAATGGGATGAGGAATTCCAGCTGCTTGCACAGGAGCAGTATGAGATGAGCTACACGCTCCCCTTTCCAGCAGGCAGGCAGAACAGGAGGAATCACACTGATGTGAAGACACGACCACAGATCTGACATCTTTGGAGCCGGAGCAGGTTCTGGCAAGGTCACCAGCCTTTTTAGAGAGATTTCTAGGCATACAAGAGCCAGAGAGCCACTTCCAATTGATTTTCCAAGCAAATCTGCCACTTAAGCTATTGGAAATGATTCCCTGTGCATCCTTTCTGAGAAAATACCTTCTAGGCAACTAGCAAGGAGAACCCAGATTTCCTAGAGCACCTATGTTGAGGTGGGCAGTTTAATAACAACCACTTCCAATACTGATTCTGCAGCAAGGATTTTGGAAAGCCTGAAACTCGAGTGAGTCACTCATCAACCCCAGTTCTTTGGGAGGGGTTCAGCTGGAAATATGGTGGCAGTGACTCCTCAAAGCATCATGGATATGCAGGGCAGGCAAAGAAACAGAGGACGGGATCATCTCTTTTTCCTGCTCTCCTAAAGAAGGGAACCTTACTAGCCTTTTAATGCCTTGTCTTCTACGTGGAGAAGACAGTGTGCAATGGGCCCTGTGGCCAAAGGCAGGTAGCTGTTGACAGGCCAAGCACAGCTCTGAATGAGAAGAAAGTCATGCTGAAAAGAAGACAGCACATTGGGAATGCATCTCCTTGTGACTTCGGCTATAGAAGCATCCCAAACCCTGAGAGAGAGTGTGGGACAGCAGCCAGCCAGACTGGGAGAATGGAACTGGATCAGGAAGAGCCAGGGCTCTGCAGCTCCCTTCCCCAGAGGCTGTGCTCCTGGAACAGGAAGAGTTTGTTCACCTTCAGGGATGCCAGTGATGATCAGACACACCAGACCACTCAGCAGCAGGAGAAAACCCTGGCATTTCTTCCTCCCAAACCACTGTAGCAGCAAGATACAAGACGCTCGAGCTGGGATTTCCACTGCTCCAAATGCAAGCTGTGTCAGGTAGATGTCCAATCCAAAGTTTGTCACATTCAGACTGATCCCATAGTAGGCAAGGCTATTGGCAAACCTGAGGAATGAGCAGAGTGACACTAACACATATATTGTCCATGAGCGAACACAGTATTGATCTCCACTGATGACATATTGACCATGCTCAGAATTTGCATGGGGCAAAAAATCACCTCAAGACCAAGGGATATCAAAAGCTGGAAATACACCAACCTTTCTCACAAACCCCACAGCACCCTGAAGAATCAAAGTCTCCCCAGGCCCACAGATGGTGGATCTAGTCCAGCCTGAGTGGCAGAAAGGTGGTAGAAGTAGAAATATACATGCACATGAACCCAGAAGCACCAAATGAGTTTACAGTTCTCATCAGTCCCCAATCCCATCCTCACTTCACCTAACAGTCAGGAAAGGGAGGTCTAGGGGACGTCTTACCAGGCGCATAACATGATTAATGTCACCTTGCAGAGGTGCTTCTTCCGGAAGAGATCCATAGTACTTCCAGGCTTGGTCTGTACCTCAGGCTTCAACTTCAAAATGCAGAAAGACACAGTCAGAACAGAGAAAATAAACTCTTTTTTTTTTTTTTTTTTTTTTTTGCTGACATCAAAGAAATATTCTCCCCAAGATTCGCTGGGATCATGAAACCTGGACCTTTACTTTCCTGGACCTTTACTGACACAGCTTAAGCATGCTGCATTTGGGAAACCAAGTGTGTGTGAAAGTTTCTCAGTAAAACAAGCAGTGCCCCCTGCCACTGGTGATACCTGCTCAAGGAGCCCTGGTGGGATGGTGCGCTTGTTCATGGATGCTGCCTTCTGAAGGATCTTCTTAGCTTCTTCTACTCTACCTTTTGTCATCAGCCACCGAGCTGATTCTGGTAGGACCCTGCCAAGGAGGTGAAATCAGGAGATGCCACTACAGCCTGTGGAGCTAGCTCAGCTGAGTTGGCTGGCCTCACAGCCCAGTTCCCTGTGACCACTTCCAGCAAGTGACTGAGGAATCACTTGTGACTGAGGAATCCATACACCTCTTCAGGCCAGGCTTGCCAGGCCTAACTTGAGGCCATAAAGTCCACATCTGAGTACATGAGCCAAAGCAGCTTCTGGTCTCAGTGGTCAGTGCCCCAAGAAGGTGAGCTGGTCTCAGCAGAAGCTCCTCCAGCATCTACACTATATTAGGGCAGACCAAAGATGGTCTTAATCTGCTGCCTCCTGCCTGCCATGTTTCACACCCACTGTTACCAAGTCTGCAAGGAGCTCTCTGCCATTCTCCCACTTACCAGAAGTAGAAGAAAAGGGCAAATATAGGTACAGATCCTGCAATCTGTAACAGTCTCCAGTTGCGGATACCGTAACTCAAGCCAGCCAAAATCATCTGTCCGATGGCAAAACAACAGTGAGAAACAAGCACTGCGTGGGGCCGGTAGGAGACACCAACCCATTCCATAGCTGAAAAGAACAAAGATTTAGGGCCATCAGTGCGAATGTTTTCTCCTGATCCAAACAATGTGCTTCCCTTGGAAAGAACTCTCTCCAAGAGCCATTGGGGTTTCTCCCTGCAATGATAACCTGAGCTAAAGCATTAAAAGGTGCTCACATTGCCTCCACCTGGGCATTGCAATGGGAGAAAAACTCTCTGTCTCACTCTGCGCTCTGAAGAAGCAGAAGCACCAAAGGGCAGTTCAAAGAAAGCCCTGTCCTCACCTTATGCATCATCACCTCCTGAGTAAATCCACCCCAGGAGCTACTGAGGTGTATCGTGGTGACTGTCCTGCTCATGTCCCTTGGGAAATCTCAGTCATTGCATGCTCAGTGAGGGGTTTTGGAGGTACCTCACCAGCTTGAGGTCAGGCCTCTCAGAGGTGACTCAAGGTTTCCCATAATTCTCCAAGTCCTGTTTCACGGGATACTTCAGTGCCACAAAGTACATACAAAGTACATTGAAAAATGTCAATAAAACTTTCTCATTGCTGCATATTTCAGCTGAAAGAGTCCTTCAGACTTTTCAGTGACAAGAAACAGAATGACAAAACAGCAGTGAACTGCAAGTAGCAAGATTGCAGTTTGAACACCATTTGAAATGTCTTCACAAAATACGGAATCAGTTGACAATGAGCCCTGCACCCAGAAACCATCTGTACATATCCCAGTCAAGGGCTGAGAGCAGCCCTTGAGAGCACCTACTTAGCTCTCCTGTTTGAAACCTAGGGCCTTTTTCTCACTGAGATGAGGTCCCCCTACATCCAGCTTCCCGTCACTTTTACAGTGTTGTCTTCCCTAATTTGCCTTTCTTGCATGAGGAGAAACAGGCCCACTACAGAGCTGTTGAGTTGGGAGAGAGCTTCGCAATACATGCAAAACAAGATTTTATGCCCCTTTTTCTACTGCCTTTTAAGAGGCCACATCTCTCTGCTTCAGAGCAAGGACATCTTACTCACCTAAAGCCAATATTGTCATGGTGATCCCCGACATGGAAGCCCCCACGACACACCTGAAGGCCATGTACACGTAGAAATGGGGCACAAAGGCAATTCCAACACCAAATAAGCCCTGGATGAGCATGGAGATTAGAATAACAGGCCGACGACCGATTCTGTGGAGGAAGAGAAAAGACAGATGGCATCTTCAGAGATCCCGTATGTGTGGTAAAGAGACCAGTGGGATACACACTGAAGTGTCCCATGGAGCAGGTTTCATGCCCATAGCATGAACACATTTGGAGCTCTTGTCTGGTTCACCTCTGGGTGCTGGGCAATAACTCCAGGCTGTTGTATCTACTCACCTGTCACTTAAGGGTCCAAAGATCATGGCTCCCAGGAGAAGCCCCAGCATGTAAATGGCTTGGGAGATGTCATTCAGGTCCTTCTTGTCACACACAAGGTCAAACTGGAGGAAGGAAACACAACTACTTTTGCTCTGAGCCCCTTTCTCCAAAACTGGGTTGCAAAGATCTGACCCCCAAAGGACCCGCCTCCATCAAGAGCATGAACAGCACATGTCGGCGGTAGGACCCAGACTAAGGGTACTTTTGTCCATCTCCTCACCATAGAGCCCTTCTTCTCAGTGCAAAGACCTGCAGGAGTCCTCTCCAGAGCAGGTTCCTCTGACAGAGACTTATGACTGAGAAGTTTTGTTCTAAGTGATATCTCAGGAGAAGATTCTCAGCACCTTCCCTCTGTCCCTAAGTCCAGATGTTGAGAGTGGTGGGCAGGGGTGAGAGGAGGAGGTCAGGAGAGGAGTGTCCTTTTTTCGGAAGGTTTCCCAAGTTTGTGGCTGTGGTCACCCTTCCAGCCACTCCACCCAGCATTGCTCTACGGAGGGTTTTTGCAAGCAATGCTCAGGGCATCAAGAAAGGATCTTTAAATGTGCGTCTCCTGACATGTCAGAAAGCTTATTGCCTCAAAAAAGGCAGTGATTATTTCTTTCCCCATACCTTCTTTAGAAATACCAACACTGTTTGCTCCCTGACATTTCCTCCTTTCTCCCTTTCACTGCAAAGAGAAATGCAAAGGGAAGAGGGAAAGGACGGGGTTATTTTATTGCCCTTAAAAGCCAGGGGCACAGTTTAAAAATGCAGTTCCTTACTGTAGACTCATTTTGTGACTCTGCTTTTTCGAGTCAGACTCATGGGTCCATAAGCAACAGTAAATGGCAACACACAGTGGGACTCTACAGAGCATTTCAGCAGAGACACAGGCTGTACCTGTGGTACGTGGAGCCCCACCTGGGCAGACTTTAGCTGACTTTGACCTCATGTTTTCCTTCCAGCAGCAGCAAAGTCAGTGCAGGGTATGAAACATGCCCAAATTGCTGGAGGGCGCAGTCAGGCCTCCTGGTTTTCCCATCTCTTCTAAGACCAGCATGACTTGGCAGCCAGTTTGGGGATGTTTGCAGCAAGCTGCTCCCACAGCAGGAGATGCCGTTGTCCTGTTCCAAACGATAAGCTGCTGCATGTGCAGCTGAGTCCTACCAGTCCAAGCTCTGATGCCAGCCTGTGATAACAGTGTGGCCTCCAGGAACTCACTGGTATCTGTCTGTGCTGCAGTCACACAAACTTGCAGCTTCTTTAGGTGCAACAGCATCTTTAGATTTGGAAATTCACCTAGAAACAGATGGCTACTGTTCATCCTCCTAGAGAAGCTCCTGACTTGGAGGTAAAATGGTTTCCAGAGACCACAGAAGCACCTGGAAATGATGAATGTTGGAGTTTCTTGTGAAGTTCTAGGTCAGAGGAAGGTATCCATGAGAAAGGGCTGGAGTTGGCAGTGGGGAAAGAGAAGGGAGGAAGGAGGAAGGGAGAGAGCAGAGCAGAGGTCCTGCAGTGTTGCATCAGGGAGCCTCTAGAAGCAGTTCTTTGTCAAATGTGGTAGCTCCACACAAAGTGAGGAGCAATGAGGAAGCCAGGCTGTTTGAGCCAGCCCTGAGCTTAAGTCACTACATGAAGTGATGAAGATACTGAGGTGGTCATGGCACAGCTGCACACCTTGACAGCGCCCAACACTGCACAGGAGCACAAACCAAGCACTGCCCCCCTGCCCTCGGGTGTCTGAAGCACCAAGTGTTGCACAGGGACAGACAAGCTGGGACGATACCTCCAAGCTGCTGAGTGGCAGCTGGAGCAGGGGCACCAAAGGGTCCAGCGTGCAGACCACACACTGAACTCAACAGTTAGGAGCTGTCGAGCTACTGTGGAGCTGCTGGGCACATATGTCACGGCCTGCCCACACATAGTCTCCTGAGGACCACCCCTGGACCCTGATGGATGTCCAGGTGGACCTTGGCTCTGGTAGAGCTAAGATCCCCAAAACATTTTTGACATAGATCTCCACCTGCTCACACCACAAATGCCAGTGGTATGGACTACGCTACAGGACAGCGTGGCTCTTTGGGTAGCCTATGGCGTCCACCTCCCCAGATCATCAGAAGGCAATTACAGACCTCAGTCAGCAGGGATGGTGTTTGTGTGGACGGGTACACCCAGCCGTTGCTGCACTTCTGCGTGGCGTTGAGGCCATACGCCACGATGGAGTCGAGGTCGCGGTCCACAGGGGAGTACATGGAGCACTGCTCGTACGCCCCGCTCGCACCCCGCGGCACCGTGAGGTTCAGCAGCTCGTCCTCGGTCAGGTTGGGACCGACCGCCCGGATCCAGCTGGTGTTGCAGTAATGGGGCACATCCACCAACATGAAGACTTGGCCAAGCATGTGGAAAGCAGTCAAAGGGACTGGGAGGGAGAGCAGCACTACCAGCCATTTCTGAAATCGCCCAAACTCCCCCAGAGCATTTAAAATATCTCCAAAGGCAAACATGGTGACAACTCCCATGGTCAGGCTGTACTGGAACGCGTTGCTTAAATGAACAGAAATGTTCCAAATGCAAAATTAATGTTTAAGCTGTGTGAATGTTTAAACTAAACCTCTAATCAGATGTGATAAAAAGTGCACTTCTATCAGCGTATCTTCCATCAGCCCAATCAACAACCTGCTGGCATCCTCTGGGATGCACTTTGCCTCTTGTAACTCCCTTCCCATTCCCAGGGCAAGAGCAAAGGTGCCAGAGCACTGCAGCTCGCAGGGGCATCATGAGGACACTGCGTCTTGTCTCAGCCTGGCCAATCTCCTCCAGCCTCCCCAAGGCAGCCAAGCTGCAACACTTGATGCCTTCGTCAGAGACGGGAGGCTCTGAACAACCGAGGGATGACCTGGACCCAGGCTGTGGGGTTGCACCCAGGCACCAGAGGAGTGAGCAGGTGACTGTGCTGAGGGAAGTGGTTCAGGAGCCTGGAGCTAGGTCCCTGCTTTTCTGCAGCCTCCTGCTTTGGTCCCCATCAGGTCCCCATGGTGCTCAGAGCTGTTGCTTGCAGCCCAAAATCTGCCTTTAGGCTCCTCCCGGGTGATGGCCTCACATGGAGCAGATTCCACTCTTGTCTGCTGCTCATCATCTCAAACCCAAATCCAAACATCTGGACTGTGGGGCTGATCCCACCTCAGGGTCAAGATGGATCATTAGAGGCTGAGCACCAGGGACTGAAGTGGTAGAGACAGGGTGCAGGATGTACTGTCATCTCAGCAGACCTTCTGCTCTTTGTGCTGCTCATGGGTCAACTCTTACTCTCTGCTCCATCAAAACCCACCAGCTACTCCCTGGGTTTTTTATTCCATATGCATCCACACCCTTGAGATCTGCACCAAAGCACTTCCCCAGGAGATCAGGAGTCCATACGAGTGACTGGGACAGCACAAGCCAAAGGGAAATTCACCACAAGGCACCTCATGCTCTGCATGCCATTGCTGTTGGGCCAACCCAAAGCCACCACCTCGCAGTTCACGCACTTCCCCAGGCCTGTGCAGGAGGGCACGCTGCACGCTTAGGGGGCTAGCGGTCATCAGGAGAGCAGGGACTCTGTGATGGACACTGGCACTTAAAGGCAGGCTCACAGTTGTGGATGCACCATGGGGATCTAGCTGCTTCCTCTTCATGGAGCTTCCTGGACGTGTGACACAGGGGCTGCTGTCAGCTCTTCTTCAGCCTCCTCTTATCACGCAGAGGGGAGAGCTGTGCCCTGCAGATCTACATGCATCTACAGGGAGGTCTTGCCCATAGCTGAAAGAGGCTGGTCCTGTAGCAGCTGCCCGGCTGTAACAGCCCAGCGCCCATCAGGACATGGTACTGGTGTCATTTTCCGAAGCAAAATGCAGCATCTCTTTTTGTGATGATATCCACACTCAGGTCTCTATTAGCACCTTGGAAGAGACATGGATTCACGTTCCGGGACATCCCTACTGCCCAAGAAACTAACCAAGGAGAGCCAAAGACAGAGCTGGGGACATCTGAGGAATGGAGGGATGGCAAAGCCAGGGCTGGTCTTGCTCCCTAAGGCAAGAAGGCACGAGGCAAGGAGAGGTGAAGCAGCACTTGCTGCAAGAGGGGCTCCAGAGGGGGCAAATAAATAGCACAGCCCTGATGTCAGTGACCGTGGCTGCCTGCACGGCAGCCCCAACTCCTGGCCATGGGCCTGCAGGTATCGGGAGCCCAGGCCCTGCCCCTTGACAAGAGGCCGTTGCCCTCTCCTTCTTCCCAACCTCGCATCGGGAAGGCCCTGGGCCAGCAATCGGAGCAAAGCTCATAGAAAGGGACCTGTTGGACGACAGCTAAGAGATGAGAAGCAGCACAATGATGCTCTCCTGACTCTTATCCATCACAGCCAGTGCTAAAGTCCAGTGACTTGCTCCAAAAGGAGACTCATTTGAGTCATCTGAAAGAGTGGAAGGAAGTGAATTCCAGCCAAGGGAGAGAGATGATCCTTTAAGCCAAAACACTTCTTGATGTCTGCCCACATGGGTAGCTTTCTTGGACATCCCAACCCTAGTAGAGATGAAGCAGTGTCCTGCACGTGCTGTTCTGGTTGGCACTTTTAATACCAAGATGAAAGGTGGGACATAGAGTTGGCGTTTCCACATTTCCAGGAATGGGAAGAACACCTGGGGCAGGGACGAAAGGAGCAAGGGAAGGAATGTCCATGCCTTGCTGGAGGTTTCCAACAGGAGAGGAAGAAGCAGCAATGGTAAATCAGGACAAACTCACATCAGCAAGAAGCCAGAGAGGTCCTCTTGAGGACATGATAATCCCACAGGAAAATCCTCATCTCCAGGCAGGCCTGGCAGGACCTTGGGACACCCCAGCCTGCAGAACACCATTTCCCACAGCACAAACCCATTGGAAAGCCAAGGATGCTACAAACCTGAGTGACCAGCGTCTCCTCATGGTGTGCAGGGTACACCCAGCCGTTGCTGCACTTCTGCGTGGCGTTGAGGCCGTAGGCCACGATGGAGTCGAGGTCGCGGTCCACAGGGGAGTACATGGAGCACTGCTCGTACGCCCCGCTCGCACCCCGCGGCACCGTGAGGTTCAGCAGCTCGTCCTCGGTCAGGTTGGGACCGACCGCCCGGATCCAGCTGGTGTCGCAGTGATGGGGCACATCCGGGACCATAAAGAGCTGGCAAAACTGGTGGAAAGACAGGCTGAAGCATGGAAGGGAGCTGAGCACCATCAGCCATTTCTGAAACGGTCCGAAACCACCAGCCGCTTTCAAAAGCTCCCCAGTGCCTGACATGGTCACCTCGGCTGGAGCACCACAGCGCTGGGAGAGACTTTTCTGGGGGCTGGAATTAATATTTAAACCCAAGATAAGCTTTGCAGACGTAGGCAGCCTCAGCAAATACGTGATTTTTTGTTAGGATAGACTTAATGCCTAATGTTTTACCCATCATAAGTACAATGTGTGATATATTAATCATCTCCAAACCACCTACAGAGAGTCTGCTATTGGATAGGGTGGAAAGAGACTTCTGCCACTAGGTGATACTAATTTGGGAAAAATAACCACTTTCAAAGAATTTGCTGGAGCTGCTGAAGTGCTGAAACAACTGCCTGTCCCTGTCAGCTCCACTCTTTGGGCAAGAAAGGTTCAAAGGGGGATGCTACAAGCCCATGGAGCGCGATGCAGAGCTGGAGAACATCTAGGGGAATAAATAGGGTGATGTAATGGAGGAGCAGAGCCCATCCCAGAGCTCGGAACAGCCTGGCACCTCTCTGGGATCACAGGAGGACTATAAGGCACTTGTGAAAGGCCGCAACAAAGAAACAACGTGCAAATGATTGGAAATGGGAATGTGGTTTAATTCTCTCGGGCTTCCTAAACGTGGCTTGGTCATAACCTCTCTGAAATCCCTCCTGAATCCTGGCTAAATCATATTCACACGAACTTGACAGCTTGAACAAACAAGACTTCAATAAATTGGGTAACAGAAGACAAACATCAGGAAAAATCAAACCCAGAAAGGCCCAGAAAGGCCTTGAGCAGGAAAGTAACCAACAGGTTAGTTTTAATTCTCAGGTAACATCTCCCTTCATTTTCTCAAGTTTCGTTACTTCTTGGAAGGCAAGAAACACCAAGGGTTGTGAAGGAGAATGGAAGACTTTGGGTTTCCTCCAAATCTGCTCTTCAGAAAGGAGGCTTTGCAAGAGGCAGCCAAACCATCACTGCTGCTTGCAAAGAGGCACAGCAGAAGTCAGCCTTCCTCTTTCTTCTGCATGATCCTACACACCAAATTTTGCAGTCAAGCCAACATCTGCCAGCCAAGGTTGCTGTTAAAGGCTGACCAAAACTTGGGAAAAGGTGTGCAGATGCTTACTTTACTTAACTGACAAATTGCATCATATTCCATGACAGCTCTGACAAGGTAACAGCTCAACACAAGGTCATGGAAGAGTTTTGGGGCTTGTGATAAGTTTATTGACAGTCTGCCAAGAGCCCTGTCACCCACACGCTCAAACAAGATCTTGTGGTTCCCACAGCCCAACATCTGACTGCTGGCACAAATATCACACAGACACTACTGCTGTTTACCAAGATAGGTGGCCCAGCTACAGTGAAAAGCCACCAAGATAACGTGCTACATGGATACGCTTTGGCTCTGCCTCTTATCTTCAACGTACTTGTGGAATAAAATAAAGTGAAACCTTGCAGGGCCCCCAGATAAGATCTAAGGCATAAAAAGGATTAGTATTGGAGAAATAAGAGGGAGTAAGGGAGCATTTGATGCTCCTCCACATGTTCTCCCAGCACAAACCATCTCACTTGCATGGCAGCCTGTGATGTTCCCAGAAAAGGGAATTGCTTGGTAGCTTCTACAGAATGGAAGATTTTTTTCTATCAAGAGACAAACCCTTGAGGATGGTCCAAAATACCCCACTCATCCACAGCTCTACAAATCCCCCTCTTCCATGGGGGCTGTTTGGAGCACAAGTAAGCTGGGTGGTGCAGATGTCATTTGGACTAGGGCCTAGGCCCCCTGCCCAAGAGACACCACCAAATTCAGCATCACTAAAACAACACAAGACAACGGACAATTTGTTCTTTATTGATTAAAAATTAGAGACATGCAGTAAAATACAAAGTCCAAAAAGGAGAAAAAAAAAGCCTGAATATTTTACATCTTTCGTTATAATCTACAATACACCGAAGCCGTGAAGAGGATCCTTTCTCATGAACAGAGCATTGTCCTTAAAGCAGGAACGAACTTAAAAAATACCATCTGCTTCCAGGTACAGACCAGAACCTTGCATGTCACCACCCCCAAATTCTTAACAACGCCGGAAAAGAATCACGAACAGCATTGGCACTTACTGGAACACCACCAGAAAAAAGTTGTCTAGCACTGTAATACCCCAAGCAGAAAATTCGGATCACTACCCAAAGCACCTGGAGATCTATAGAGTAAATAACATCATCTTCTCCCTTACTTATTTTCTTCATTTAAAGAGCTAAACAGCATTGGGTTAGTGTGAACTCGGGCTCTCCAGGTCCTGGCTTGGCGAAGAGGGAAATAACAAATAGGCACTCTGTTGTCTCATCTGAGCCATTTGAGTCCTACATCTCCTTGTACCAGCGCACAGAAGACCCGTGGGGTCCTCGGCGCAAGCAGGTAGGAGGAGGAATAATACTGCAACAAGACTAACTGGTCTCTGCATCCTAAGAGTCTCCAACACCTCCCTGTTCATCCTTGGGCAACATGAAAAGGTAGACTCTAGCCTGCTCTTCCTAAGCCAAGCAGAAGTGCCAGAGCTGTCACACACACACATGGCCAAACGTGGCCAGCGCCAGCTCCTGACAACTGACACCTCTCCCTTCCTCACCCTTGAGAGCTGCTGCTCAGCACTCGGGGCTGCTCTTCCTCCCAGACCCTCCTCTTCCTCTCCTTCCCTTCGCGCTCCTAGCGACGGGGTCGTGACCGGTTGGCAGTGCCCACTGGGACCTCCCCAATAGTCAACTAGAAGCTAAAGAAACAAGGATGGTAGAAAAAAGAACATGCACAATATCCAGGAAGCTTCCACAGCTGCCCATAGAGAAAAAAATATAAATATAGACTGTTCATAAGAAGACTTTGAAATAAAAAAAGTCCTAATTGAACCAGTCATCCCGTTTTAACACTCCGTTTCTGCATTGTTTGTGGCTGATGGAAACCAAACCCGTTTCCATCTGTGTGTTAAATTACAGGCTTAACAATTTCCATGTAGAAAACATCTCAGAGCCAAGAGCAATTACAAAGGCCAACTGTGAAACAGTAGGAAAAAAAATAATAATCAACACCATTTATTATTCACATATTGCATTACAAGTGTCTCTTATCAAACGCAAAGTATAATTTATATTATTCATGTAGAAATTCAAATGAAACACCACATAGAAACAACACCTAGACATGAGTGACATGGTTGCAGTGACATCCTGATCAAAACGTTGAGGCTTGGATCGTGGAGAGGTGGCCAACCCAAGCAAGTAGTGCAGGAGGGACAGTCGGGAGCTCGCTTGCCTAGGGTAGCGCTCTACCGGCAGCTCTTTATTGCTGTAAAACACAACAGGGAGGGTTCCACGGGTACCACTTTGCAGAAGACTTGCAAATACATCAGGGAGGATTCGCRCAGCCAGGCCTCACAGGCTGGGCTTCAAGAACGTTTGGTAGGGCATGTTTTCCAAACGCTGAGTGACACAGAATTCCTCTCCCTCCGACCATCGGTAGCTTATGGATCATCTGGAAGATCCGTTTCCAGACAGCAACGCCTCGTTCTTCTGCTCTAACAACAGACTACATCTAAGGATGCAGAATGAAAGACATGTTTTGAGGAAGGACTGCTTAATGTAAATTAAAAGGTTCAGCCCTCATGCCATCCCCTGGCACTCATGTGGAGAGAACCAAAGTGATAAAAAAAATAAAATAAAATTAAGGCAGTTTACAAAGGAAAGCTGACTTCTAACACCTCAAAGTCTAGGAACTTCTCAAAAACACAAACACAAGGGAAGTATGCTCTCCCTTCTGTGGGTTAAGACTTGACTTGCTTTCTCAGGAGCAAGCATTCAAACCAGTAGAGTTTTTTGTTTTTTGTTTTTTAAATACAACTGAAGAGAAGCAGATATCTCAGTACTCCAGGTGACCCAAATAACATGTACACATTGGTGTTTCAAATGGAAGGGAAGTGGGTGAAGAACAAAAAAAAGATCTGTTCAGTATTAAAACTTGTGCAAAAATAGCAAGTGAGAAAAAAAAAATGAAACCACATGTAAGCAAACATTTAGGCAAGATCATCAGAGCAGTGGAACCCCCTGCTTCGTACTCAGTAGTATTTTTCTTTAAAGTAAGGCAATAATAAAATGAACATGCAGGCGATGATGCGTTGGATCTGCATGTCTGAGATGACAGATACAAAAACATGAGAGTTGTTTACAAAAGGTGTAAACGCCATCGGTAATTTCAGGAAGGTTTTGTGATCCTATTAAGGAAACAATGTTAAAGCTTCTAGGAAGGGGGCTGTAGTTCAATTCTTTGGCAGTAGTGGTTTTTTTTAGGCTAACAGAAGCATTACGAATATGCACATGTGGGTTCTCAGTTGGGAAACGTCTCCTGGGACCATTGTTTAGCTGATGCTGAGCTGTGCAAATCCTATAAGTTTGCCATCATCAGGAATATCCGAGCCTTCCACACCAGATGCCTGTAACACAATAAATAGAGATCAAATAGCAACATCCATGATGCATCCTCTGACACGCACGATTTTATGCACAGGAGAGGGAGCAGTTACAGGACAGCTTTGTACTGTGCTTTGTACTCAGCAGGTGGCAGTATCCAAAGTTAAAATCGTGGTTTTATTATTATTTTTTAGCTAGGAAGGGCTGGGACTGAAGTTTTGCCAATGTCTGCTCCAACTAGGGCTACGTGCACTATCCTGGGTGAAGCAAAAACTCTCCTTACCCACAGAAATGGTCAGAACTGGCACACATTTTTTACCTGCCAACAAACCAGTTAAACCTTTGCTTTGCCACTGCAATTGGCACTCGGTTTCACTGCATCTGAAGGATTCATCTGCTGCTGTCACTCAGCATCCTGCTTTCCTTCCACCTCCTCTCAAAGACAAGGTATCCAGACCCTCCCCATCTCTTCCTCCAACAAAGCGTTCAGTGGAATTTCCCTCTCCACTTACCTGCCCTGAAGCAATGCTACTCTTTGGGGGCAAGCAAGCCCTCCAAGCACAGAAAATGCTTCTGCAACACTTTAATATCTTTATTAGCTAGGATAAGGGAGCATTTGGGTTAACACAGCATCTCACATAGTTATTTAACCCAGGTGCAGCTCAGAGGACACAAGCAAGGAGTCTGCATTGCCTAATGTGAGAAGACCAGTGGGGACCTTCGGGAAAGAAGGGAGGATTCATAGTGCATACATTAGATGCCTACAGTCGACCTTATAGGCATCTATATGCAGTGTTTTATTTGCACAAGTGACAACTTGCTCAATTAGGGAACAGGAATAAATACCAGTTTGAAAGTGACGGATCTGTTTGCTTGGGGCTCTTCCACAATTTTCTGCAAATTAGCTGCAACTGAAATCACACACACACAAAAAACGGGCAAACATTAGGACAGGCTAGAGAAAAACATCCCAAACTCATTAAGGCCTCTTTCTACTACTCAACAGATTTAGAACATTTAAAAATACAGAGCTAAGGGGAAAAAAAAAAAGTTTGGATCTCAATTAGATTTAAAGTCTGCTTAATTTAAACATTTATACTGAAAATGCTGTCACTTGTTACTACAGTTCCTTTCCAAAGGTATTCATGTTTTCCTGGAAGTGGTGGGATTAGTATTAACAAATGGCCCAACTGCACCTGGAAATAGCACCAGCAGCATCCCCAGATGTTGGGGCCAGTATCTAAGGAACAGTTTTGTTTGCTCTAAGGAAAATACACAGGCAGTGTTGACAGCTTAAAAGTCTCACCTGCTGCCTAAAAGGATGCATTTGGTTAGCAAACTTGCTATTCATCTAGTTATTCAAACGTGCTTGCAGTGCAGCAACATGGGCTGCTGCCTTAGGCCAACTACATCACACGTCCAGCACAATTCCTTCCTCAGCCCTACCAGTGTGTGCAAACACTTAAAATAAAAAGCCTGGCTGATTCCAGTCCCAGACCTCTCTTGCGCAGAACCTGTAAGCACTACAGGCTTGTGCAGTAATTTGGCACTGTATTTATGTCAGATGAGGTCAATTTAACTAATATTCTCAGATGGGAAAAGTTAAGGATTTCAGCTCAGGGTGAAGACATAACATGTTGATTTGGCTTCATTTTGTATTACAAGGAAGGTTTTCTTCTTAATGTTTCCAAACAGATAATATTCATGTGGACTGGGGGGCCCAAATGTACTGGTACAGAACTGCCACGGGAATTAACAGCAGTTTTGTAGAGCCATTGAGGTGGAGAATCAAGGCCACAATGAACTGTCCTAGTACCCACAGATCAGGTCATTTAAACATGCAAAAGTGACTAAAATGGTTGGGGAAGAAAATAAAAACAGGCAATTACCTATTACCAGATCTCTGCCATCCACAAGACCTGCCGAAATGAGCTCTTGAGATACACCATCAGCAGTATCTGTTGGGGAGAAACACAAGAGCCAGTCACTGCATAATAGAAAATTGCCCAACTCATTATGGTAACGCACAGAAACCCAAGCCTGTATCAACCAAACAGCAAGAATGTTATGTTTATATGACACAGATACTAGGGAGTAGACTGGGTGCATCTTTCTTTTCAAACTTTCTTTTTCTAATACTGAAAATAAAAATGTCTCTACTGAGCTTAAAAAAATAGTATTGAATATTCACAAGACAGAAAGGAATCAGGTCTGTAATTGCACTATCTACAAGTACCTGGGCTACTCTCTACTTTGCATGGGCAGAGTCTTTAGCTTTCTCAAAGACTTCACGGGCTACCTGTTGTAGGTCAGATATCTAACGTAAGATCCAAGCTTGCCCATCTTCTCAGCAATGTAAGATGGACACCATTTGTGTTAGCTACTGTGTGGCACTTCAGCGATCCTATGGAGAAGCAGGCTGTCCAGGTACAGGGCAGCAGCCCAACAGAAAGCAGTATCTGCATTGAGAGGTCCTTCAGTTGTTCATCTTTGAGTTACCCTTGTTTTCATGACAGGACAAAAGCCAAAGAGGGCAAGGGGGGAGACCCCTATGTACTCTGTTCCTCTCTATGTCTTTGCTTAAAGCACTGCAGAGAGACAGCTTGGAACTGTGTGTCAAAGTGAGCTGGAATTCATCCAAGGGCTGTACCTCAGCTAAAGCCATGGCATTTTTACAAAAGAGGCCCCTTAATGCTCCAAGCACTCACAAACAGCCAGACCTAATGCAAGGTCTGGAAACTCCTGCCAAGGCCTTTAGGAAGCGAGTGCACACCCTGTGCACAAACCCCCTTACAGTGTTTCCATGCACACCCTTGCACAACAACAAATGAACGAATCCGCCTTCACCAAAGCCACCTTCCCCCTCTGGCATCCCCCACCAGCTCACCTCTCCCTGGGGTGAATTCAAAACGAATATCGTTGAGTTCTTTTTTCGAATTCCTGGGGAAAAAAAAAAAAGAAATCTTATATAGAAGACGCTGTTCCATTTCACTGATTATTGACCCAACGAAAGTGCTGCCACTGAAGAGTCAGCAGGTGAGAACTGTATTCTCTACACGCTTCCCCCTCAATAACCAAAAACCTTCTGACCTGGGTTTGTGCCTAGAAGCAAGGTTCTCCTTAACAGTTTGACTGCCAACCTGAGCAGGCTGAAGCTTACACGATGGCCACCTCTGGTTTAAGGCCACATCATTCCACTGCCTCTTAACTCACAGTGGTCACAGTTTATCCTTGGAGCACATCCTTTGGAAGAAGGAAGTACCAACTCACTCTGTAGATGCATTACATAGCAGACATTCCATAACTGTTTTGGAATGACTAGGAAATGATGAACCCAGCCCAATGCCTATCAACAACCCATCTCAAAGGAGATGAGAGGTAGATTCCTTAAATCAGAAAGGTCATCATGTATAATGATGGTAGAGACGACTTGCCATCCTTTCTCTCCATATTCCTCAGGACTGTGTCTCCTTACCTTAACCTTAGTACAAGGCTGATGGGAACCTTCGTATCTTCTTGTACCGAGGCTGCAGCAGGGGCAGGTGGGGCCTGCAATAGTATTACATTGTTTTAAAGCCAGTTTATATTCCCTTTCTCTAGTCAGTCTTAAAACTAAAGATAACCTTGAGCAACTAACTATAAACACAAAATATCACAGAAGTTTCACACATCATTGAAATTATGAGAAGACAGACTGATATTCAAACTGGTGAACTTTATCCTTGAACTGTAATTAATCAGGTAGTCCTCTCTGAACTATTTTTTAAGAGAAAAAGCATTTGATTTTGAGATATGCCACACCAGGACACCAGAAGAGGTGTTAAGTATAAAGAGACTGCTTGTTTTGCCTCACAAACTAAGGTTTTGGGGAACACGCTGCAGTTTCAAGACATCCCATGTTTTAATCCTTTCCCTAAAGATCTGTTTTTTGGAAATCTCATAAAAATGCGAAGAGTATCTAAGAAAGAAATTAACCAGTAGATTAGCATAAATCCTTAATAATTTTGATGAAACCAAAGGCTCTTTTTGAGAAGAGCTAGTAGTGATTTCATAGATATCTGTTTTCCCATCTAATTTACTTCTGATTAATTACTAGCACCTGCAGTCAAAGTATTTTGTATCATTTTCAGCAGGAGATTTCTAGTAAGAAAGGTTGAAGAGGTTTCCACCTTTAGAGTGTTTGTGATGCTTTCAGGAACAGGCTAATTGCTAATCACAATCCCCCCACAAAAAAAAGTTTGGTCACTTTTCCACTGTACAAGTCATTTATACTACACATGCTGATTCTGAGGTTTCAAAATTGTAGAAATTAGGCAGACTAGGGTGATGATTTCAGCCTGAAAAGCGTAACAACTGATTTTAAAACATCATCTGGATCACTTTTTTTTTTTTTTTTTAATGAGAGAAAATTTAAGCTCTTTATTTCATCTGTTGCTGCTCTTGTGCTAATCATTCAGCTCAGGGCTACCGACCACAGTCGTGTTTAATTTAAAGCTCAAAGCATTGCCAGGTCAGTGAAAACAAACCCAGAGATCTGCAAAGACAGTAATCCACCAAACTATAAGAACTAGAGGAAAGCTGTGAAGAGCATCACACTGACCCCAGAGGTCTGGAGTTCACCTTAGGACAAATACCAGCAAATAAGGTTGCAGGCACCAGTGACAGGATACCCTACTAAAGCAAATCAACACCTTTCCAACACTTCCATTGACACCACACTGATATGAAATGAACTGAGTTTACTGCCCTGCACTGCTACTGCTGCTTCAATTGTTGCATAAAATTCAGGGATTAAATCCCTGGCCCTATTTCAAATGGTGTGAAAGGGTTTGATTTAAGCATTAGAGCTAGTTTAAATGTAGCCAAGAACATGTCAGTCCCAAACTCTGCTATTTTTAAGGACTAATGTGTTTTTTAAAATGGTTTTGTTAACAAGAACGTGAGCTGGCTGCAGTGAAGTGATACATATAACTTTATTTAAAATAAAAAATATGCAATGTTTCTAGGAAGGAGTAGCCTCAAGAGTTAATCTTCTGTGCAGCACTGCCAAGCCCCTTGCCCTTGGCCTGCCAATGGATCATGCTAGCTTGGCCCTGTCCAACAGCAACTGCCTCTCCCCACCAAAGTATGAACATTACTGTCTCTTATAAAGAGGTACCATCATTCGTGTGCCTGGCAGACTCTGCAGTGCTGTAGCCAACCGCAAGACATATTCCAAGTATTTCAGTAATTATTTGGTTTGTCTGTTTTTCTCCCTTTAACACAAGTCGGGAGTTCTTTCCTGAATTTGGCAGGCCTGCCTATTTGATCCATACCCTACACTTTGGGAGGACACAGATAATTGGAGAGGGTCTTGTCAAGCTTTTATCTTCACTGTATTTTCCCTCAAGGGTCCAGCCTCCCCTCTCCACCTCCAGACAAGCAGCTTCCCCGGTTTTAGTTCATCTTAGCCCAACAGTTTTAAACAGAGAGATGAAGTGCAAGGTTGAAGACCGGTAGGAAGAGTTTTGATACTGACCTGGGCTGCTGCTGGTGCTGCTGCAGGAGCCTGGCTTGGTGGAGGGACAGCAGCTTGAGGTGGTGCAGGTACCTGGCCTGCTGCCTGAGGTAGTTGAGGTGTCTGTGCTGGAATATTGAGTGAAGGACCTTGGGGTTCAGCTGCTGGGAACAGCTGCAAGCAGAAAGATGTTTTAATGGGAAAAGGAATTTAACAGACTTTAGGCCCAAGCATCTGCTTTCCACAAAGGACCTGTTGGCCAAATAAATCATTTCAGGTGTGCTGCCCAAGGTATTCCCTAGCCTCTCCAAAACACTAAGACTGATCCCAAGTCAGTCTTTAAGGGTTTCAATGTTTCCCCATGCCCAAGGACCCTTCCTGCCCTGAACTATTCCGCTTACTCATCAAGGAAGGACAAGAAACCACTATAACAGCATGACTGTAGATCTTGACTAAAAAATTACATGCTGCAGCTAGCAAGGCTGGATGCACACAGACCATAGCCTAGTTTGGGAGGGTGCTGTGTCCTGCAGCTTCCCCTCTTCCAAAATCTGACTCCTGTTGATATTTCCTGGTAGCCACACAGCCAAACCACAGCATCTGCTTTGATTTGAAAGTCCATGCAGAGGGCAAAGCGCAGCAAATCAAAAAAGTATTTGCTGATAATTTATCTGTTCCCACACAAACGTTAAGAGTCAGAGCACTTTAGCTGTTTAACTGAAATTAACTGCAGTTTATTTAAAATTACAGAACCGGAACTGACTGCAGGCTTATTTGGGATCTCCTTTTAAGATCAATCAACCCTTGGAAGCAGATGAAGTTAGACAAGGACACCCTAAACCTAAAACTAATTTCTATGAGATGACTCTATTCACTTTTCCATACAGAAATGGAAAGGAAACAACTCAGTCTCTGCAAGATAAGCAGCCTCTATCACTGAAACATAAGACATACTATATAGGACAGTGCCAGGGCTGAAGGCAGATTATAAAATGCAATTGAAGCTTTGTTTGCTATCATCTACTATTACCGACTCGCTTCACAGTCACAAGCTTAGTTTCAAACTTGAAAGCTTTTTTTTTTTGCTTTAAACCAAGAAAACAAGCATTTCAAAGATATGCTTTGTTTTTCTAAGGAAAATCAAATGACTCTTGCTTTGTTCAGATTGTTCTTGGGATGGATTATTTTACAACAGACCTTTGCCATGGCAAATAAAGTTGAAAAGATATTCCCTAAAGTTACTCAGAAAGACCTCGGGCATGAAACAGCCAATGATACATCTTCTAGGGAGGTTTTCAAGTAGAGTTTAGCTAGGAATTAGCTTCCAGTTCACACAGTGCTCTTTTTTTCTAAGGCTCATAAATAACATATAATCAATAATAACCCTGTGGCATCAATAATAATCCAATGGCATCAACCATCATTTTGAGAAGCTATTTGCAATTATAACTTACCTCAGAATTCTGTACAGATTCTTTCACTCTGGGAGACTAAAACAAAAGAAAAAAAGTGTCATTTCATGGACAAAAGGGAAAGACACCGACTAGCCACGACTCTTCTATTGCCAGTTCATGCAATAACTTAAGCAGCGCAGATCAGGCCAACTTGTAATGTACTACCCTGAGGCTTCTCAAGAAAGAAAGTGGTCTCAGTCTCATAACAGCAAGCTGCTAAAAGCCCTTGGGACAGGAAGAGAAGGAACAGTGCCTTCGCAGTGACTAAGTACAGATATTGATGGGAAAAAAAAAAAGAAGTCATGCAGCTGGAAAGGTAAAGGAATCCATCCCAAAGCATTAAGTCCTTGCTTGAGGGATAGCAGGCAAGACGGAAAGCAAGGCATTGCTCCTAGAGATAAACAGCAGCTCTGCACATCTGCAGACCACAGCCTCAGTGTTGTTCTTCTGGGCACAAAGCTCCTGTCTAAGCGTAGCTGGACGCCTCAAGGAGTCATTTAAAAGCCTGTCTGAAAGACCACAGCGTGCCAGACAGCACAAGGTAAGCACAGAAACACTGGCTCGTGGTCAACAGCCAACTCAGAAATCAGACGAGCAGATGTAAGGCAAGGAAAAACATGAGCAGACCCAAGGGAAGCAAGACAAACGTTAAAAGATATATACCTCATGAAGGCACAAATACGATGCCTTTGGGTATGTGTTTAAACAAGCTCTAATTTACTTTTGCCCCTGTTAGAGACGATGCAAGGAGCCAGAGAAGTGTGACAACACTGACATGAGTGCGGTGTGCTCAGATTTAGCAATGGGAGATGGACAATGTAAGATTTTTTTCCCTTGCACATACAGCAATTACTCTAAAGTAAATTCAAAACTAAAAATGCAGGGGGGCAAAAAAAGCTCAGTATTCAGACTGCTCTATAAGGGATCAAGTGCTATAGGTACATGGATATTCCTATCTTTTAGTCTTCAGGCTGAAGAAAATGAGTTGAAACCAATGCAGAGAAAAGACATTTGGACTCAAGGATTTGAGTACCCAGATAGAGATATGCAGTTATGTTTAAGGTGTCCAGCCTTATGTCTAAGGTGACCTGGCCCCTATAAAGGCACAGATATCCAAAGATTCGTGTCACATCTGCATTGGGCACCTCTGAAATGGGATTATAAATGTACATCTAAATAACTGAGCTGAGACCTGTTGTTCCAACATTCATCCTTTAATAAGGTGCTACAAGAGCATCTTAACATTTTCTTCAAGGGCTCCTAGATTGCAGGGTAGCCAACAGCACAGGACTAATCTTTATGTGCTTCAGATTTCAGCTGCAAGTGCAAATCCCCTCGATTTCAGCGCCATCCATGAAGATGACAATAGGAGAAAACCTCTCCTGATATTTCCAGACGAAAACATCTCAGTCATCATAAACCCCCTAAGAAACCAGAGAACATCCCAGGTCAAGTGAATTAGCAGTATTTTGAACATGGGAGCAGGTCATTTGAAATTGTGTTCCCAGTTTCACTCAATATTCCTGACTGAGACCATACAAAAGCATTCAAAAGACTTCAATCTTCAGTCTGCTTTCTCTGATTCTGCCTCAAGCTCTTTGGGGAAGGGATCATCAAAACCTATTGCATGCTCTACTTAAAACCCTTGTTTAAAAAAATACTGCAGTTAGAATCATAGAATCATAGAATCATAGAATGTCGAAGGTTGGAAAGGACCTCAGAGGTCATCGAGTCCAACCCCCCTGCTCACGCAGGGTCACCTAGAGCACGTGGCACAGGGCTGCATTCAAGCGGGTTTTAAAGATCTCCAAAGAAGGAGATCTTTAGGAAATAGAAAATAAAGAGACAAAAGGAAAATAGGAAAATAAAGAGACAAATAGGAAAATAAAGAGACAAAAGAGCTGTCATTGAGCTCGAGAACCAACCCTGAGCTGTGAAATTGCTGCTCTGCCTTCCTCGCTTTCTTCATCGAGCTCATCATCGCTCCATTCCCAGCCACCATCTTCAGTCTTATGAAGGCGCCCACTGGAACCGGGGACCCTCCGGACCTACACGGCACGAAAACAGAACGGCCACATAAAGCAATTTCAACAGTCAATATTTTTTTCTCTTTTAAAGGAAAAATAGCAAAAGAGCATCTTCAGTTTGCACTCCATATGACTGTATGTTTGAGGATTTGATTAGGATGTTCAGGCCTACATCTAGATGTTGCTCTTCCATACTGCTCATTGAAAATGTGAATACAAGTATGGAAACCAGCATGACTTTAGCACAAAAGAAAGTCCATGGAATTTTTCAGTACCTTTTTGGATCTCTCAGTGATTGTTGGTGCTCTCTGCAACATCTTCTCTTGCAAAAATTCTTTATTCTGCAAAAGAAAAAAGGCCAAAAATTCACATTGCTGGAAATGCTTTTTGGTTCCTTAAGTGCTTCTGATAATGAAAAACTGTTTGACAAACTATTTCCAATAGTAAGTGTCCAGCATGCCTTTTTTGTTGTTGTTTTTTTGTTTGTTTTTTCACATAACTGGGCTGCAAAAGGAAATGCTCTTTCCTCCTTTGAACTACATTTTACGATGCTTCATTCCAAAGACTTCTTAAGTTAGCGATTGCACTTTTCTTCTGTAAAGTGATACGGAGTTAATAAAAAGTTGCATAATAAAAGTGTATCTGATTTACTGCAGGGCACTGCTGGATGTACGATATCACAGTATTTGATACCTTAATGAGACATTTGGCATTCTTCCATTTGCAGCTACTGCAACACTTGAATCCAGACACTTTTTTGGGAGTGAGGGCAGGATATGGGAACTCCAGCACCAGGTAACAAGGCCCAGGAACTGGAGCAGCCTGAGTTACTGTCGGGGTCAAGAAATGTCCAGCACATGTGATGTAAAGAGAGAAGGCGAATGTGGTGAACACAACAGATTAAATCTTGGGATCCCACTGTGATGCTCTGTTATATATGTATTAAATCCACTCTGTATTTATATGTGCATACAAGCATATTAAAACTAGACTCTCCTGTCTTCAAATTACAGCTGTGAGGCTGGCAGTGGCTAAAGGTTGGAAGCAATTTTACACTTGGTGTTCACCGCCTTGGCTTTCTGCTTGGGGTGCTGGTTTAAGCATTGCCTCATTTACCACAAAGTTAATTTGCTATCTCCACATATGCTAATACGTTACTTTGCAGCAATGAGAGCACGAAGGAGATTTTACACACAGTGAAGTATAACATGAGCCCAAACTAGTGTCAGGCAAATGCAGAAAGGTCAGCAATGCATCAGCCACCTCCCTGTCACTTTGCCCATCACGCACATACAGACACGTCGGGTGCCTAAAATCCCATTAAGGTCAATGAAAACCCAGTTGATCCCATCAACGGCCCAGACAGCAATTAAGTTTGCCCTAAAGCAAACTCCTACATTTGGGAAATTGGATTGCATCCGAGAGCTCCTTGGTCACATTTATTAGATCTCTGTCAACTTTAATAGGACACCCAGCTCCTCTCTAGATGCCTGGATAGGGACACGTCCCTTGAAGCATCTTGATCTGTGAGCTGAAAACTACTTTGAATAATTGGTAAAGCTACTGCACCATCCCCAATATCAGATATTGTTTTGACAATTTAACCCGTCTTCTACCATAAAAATCATGTATTTTAAGGTCACAAACGTGGCATGAAAAATAAGCCACCACAATTCCTCATTCTAATAAAAAAATAAATTTTCCTCTTTACTATTTCTGTTCATCTCCCCACAAAAAAAATCTCACATTAAACTCCAGGCAGTAAGCCCATAAATGCTGTTTGTTGTCAATCCACTGCAACCTACCCAATGAGGCTAGAAATAGGAGGCTCCTACTGTTTTGTAACATGGTATCTTCATTTTCCATGAGGCAAGATACGGTAAAACAGTATTCATTGTTTTGCACACACCCTGATTATAGTGGTTTCTAAAATATTAGTTATATTTACTGCCACAGAGACGTTCATGGTTGGCCATACAGCCATACAAGAGAAGATAAAACCCCAAATCCACTGAAAGGCATTTAAATGTTCCAGAATTTCTAGATAATTCCTCCTAATAGCATGAGATACAGAATAGACGTCTCATTTTCTGCCTGTTCACAATGGCCCATTTAAAGCATCCAGCTATGCTGGCTCTAAATGAAACAGCCACCCTACACTCATGCCAACACTCTCACCATACTTACCACACTTCAGAGAAATCCTCCCCACAACCTCTGCAAGGACCCATTTAGGGAGCGTTTTCTTACCTTTGCTTTTGTGAAAAACTTGTGTCTTAAGAGTTCTGCTGCCGTTGGTCTGGCAATAAAAACAGATGTAGAGAAAGCAGTTAATAAGATTGCTTTTCAGTGCAACAGTCTTGTAAATAACACGAGTGGTTGAAGGACATGGGCTTCTCTGGCACATTTCCCCTACAACCAGTCGGTAGAAAAGCAGTGAATAATTCAGGGGTGGGAGGGAAAGGGGAAAGAACTCAAATATTTCAGGTACTTTGCTGTATTTTGTAATTCATTCCATCCAATATAGATGCAACGATGCACCTTTGCCTAGTAGACAGAAATAATCAGGGCTTATTTTCCTCTTTAAGTTAGACTTAAATACGGAAAAGTAGAACTGGTCTCTCGGCCTGTTGAGAAGGAGCTTTCTAAAGTCTCAGGGTTATATGAAGACACTCATAGCATTTCTCCTGCTGCAAACTGTGCTTAAACAGCAAGAGAAGGTGATTAGGGACTTACTGAGGCTACTCATCATAGGGTTTATGTCAATCCAGCCCATGCCAGCAAAGTCATCCATCCTACAGCAAGGGAATGCCAAAAAAATGCAGGAAATGTTGCTGGTGCTTGAGATGAGAGAGAGGACACACAGCAATTGAATATGTAATGTTTAATGCTCATCAGCACGCACTCTAACCCGTGGGGAAAGGATAGGCTTGAAAAAAAACAGAAGAAAGTATCAAGCTGGGAAAAAGAAAAGCCTTGCTGTCAGCATTTATCAAGCACTTAACTGGATTCGTTAAGTATTTCAAATGCAAAGCTTGTTAGGAGAGAGAGATCCCATCTCGCTGTGCGTGAGAAGCCTTTGTTCCAGGATCTGTCACAAGGGGAGACTCAGAAACGTCTTCATTATGAGTATTTTATGAAGGGACTTTTTCCAGAATTAGCTTGGTTAGCAAGGGGAGAAAAAACAGGATAAAATTTGTAGGAATGCTTTGCATTTCAAGGAGCACTGTTTTTAATGCAGGATGGACGTTTCTCTCATGCAGCTGGGCTACAGAAATACCCCAGCTCTACGTCACAGGCTGTGGCTATGAACGTGGCTCCAGGCAGCCAGACCCTCTCGCAGCTCCAGACGATGCCGGGCACAAAGACACGGTGCTATTCCAGCAAGCACAACGTAGGCACCCCCTCCTCAGTGCTCCTCCTGACCACACTCCGGAACTGAGCTGCTCTTACAAGACTGAAGGCAGAATCGGGTCACTTCAGCAATTGGTATGGATGAAAACCCATGGGGCAAAATTTGCCACATTGAAGGCCTTCTTGCACTGGCAAATTTGAAAAACATCCCCAAGTAAGTCCGTGTTGCCCAACATGCAATTTCTGATCTACAAAGACCAAACTGTTTTGACTAAAAGCAGAGGGCTGCAGTGCCCTGCTGGAGGTGGCAAGAGGCAGAGCGGGATGTGTGCCCAGTAACTCAAAGGGAAGACGTGTGTCTGGGCCAGCCACAGTGCCAGAAATTTATCCTTAAAATAAGGACAGCCAAGAAAAAACTCTGCTGCCACACAGCAGGGCTGCTGCATCCCCCCCAAAAGGCTGAGGAGTCAGGGAGCACAATGGCTTCACAAACACAACGTGATGAGTTGGTTTGGTTAAGGTTTATTCTGATGTTGGCAGTCAACTCTTACCTTTTCTCGGGGTCTTTTTGTAGACATGATGAAATCATCTTCCTAAACGACTTCCCATACTTCTTCAGCATCTCCTTATCTTGCACACCAGTCTCCAAAGATGGAGGATCGTTTTGGAGCGTCAGCATTAAAACCTAAAAGAATTACATCTATTGGCAATGAGATTTTCTCGGCCTTTGTTAGAGGCAGATTGTGAGAAAGCAGTATTTTAAACAAGCACTTTCACTCAGCAGGCAGATAAATAGGGACTGTTTCACAACGGTGGCTTCTCGAGGATAGTCTGAAGGTTTTCCTGCAGTTTGGGCTGCCACCTTCTATTCAACAGGTGAGAGCTCACCCACTACCTCTCCCTCAAGGCAATTAAAGGGTCTTTGCTAGCAGTGCTTTCTAAACTTGAAGAAACTTATTTTCAAGGCATTCATACCTTTGTGACTTGCACAACAGGACGCAGAGAGTGAGTCACCTGCTCCTCTTCTTCATTGGGGGGCCAGGCTGATCTCTTCAACAAGCCCCAGCCCACAGCCTACCTCCAAATGCAAGGTTGGGATGCACTTTTGGGTCAGTTGGGTACCATGAAGGTGTAAACACAGCAAAATGCAGATTTTTTGATAGAAAAATCAAGATAGAAATGAATATCAGTGTAAAAGCAGAAGGGCTGCATGGAAGATACAGGAATTCTCTTTCAAGTAGCACTGCAGGTGCTTGTGCTTCCCTTCCAGCACAAGCACTCATCAAGTCCCACTGATTCTTTCCTTTGCAACCCTCGTATTTTGAGGGAAAGGAGAAAAAATACTCATTTCCATTTCCACTTGTCACTTACTTACAGATGAAAGCCTATTTTTAGCAAAGGAAGCAGTACAGAGCACATTTGAATAGCTTTCAACAGCTATATCGCTCAGGGCTGCAACAGACCATCAGTGTAGCTGAAATTAAACAGTCCACAATAGAATGCCCTGCTTTTTCTTATCTCCTCCTCTGGGATCTCTATCTCTAAAGAAATCCCCCTCTTCAGAGGGTCACTCAAAGGATGGGATGTTTTGCTGCACAACAAAAATTCAATATGCAGCCAAATGCAATTACATACAACAGATAAAAGACAAAAGTCCTCTTGCAGGTTGCCTTACTGCAACCCATATCTAATAGAAGGGGAGATTAATAATTCTTTCCACCACCTAACAAGATATGGCACTAAGTATGTGACCCTTGTGCTCAAAGCTACAACTCATGCATTCAAAATACTGGAGAATGGCAAGCCAAAGCTACTGGAAAATGTTACTGGGAATCAGAGTGCAGAAGGGAGCATCAGTGAAGACAGGGGCACCTAAATCAGCAATGTATTTTCCTGAACTTATTGATTTGCCACAGTCATCAATACGGTGCTATCTTTACCTGCATTTCTAAAGCACTTAACTGTTTAAAAATTTCTGCACAAAGCTGATGCAAGCCTTAAAAATAATATTGTTCCTACAACAGCAAACTAGTGCAATGTCTTGGTACTTAAACCCATACACTGATGTTCCTGTCTTTCTTAGGAGCCACTGGACTCCTCCAAATCCACTGCAGCTTGAGTGTTGGGCAGGGAGGCACCCAGGCCCTAGAGCTGTGATGCCCACCTTGCAATATTTTAGCAGTTAAAGCACACAGAAAAAGAAAGCTTGCCCCAGAGAAGCCTAAAATTACACCCCTAAGCCTCAAAGCTCCGGTTAATAATCTAACCAAAATTTTTTCTGAAAGGGTTTTCCACTCCCTCATGCTCCATCTGATAGAATTTGCATCCAGGAGTGGAAGCAAAATGGGCTTCAAGAGGATGGGAAATACAAAAGGGGCTCAATTTTTTGAGCATAACAGGGACCCATCAGATCTCATAAGGGGCTAAGAGATCTCAAAGCTCACTTGAAGGATGCTCCAAACTTTAGATGATGAGGTGGACTCCTAACTAAGATACAGACTCCCTGAAAGGGCAGATGTTGGAAGAGGCTCCTGGTTCAAGAAAATCAGCTAAACCACCATGATGCAAGACAAATTTCAAGGTACTTAAAAGAAAAAAAGGTTTTTGAAGCATCCAAGTTTAAAAAAGTTTCCACATCTCCACTTCAATAAAGTACTAGTGAAGCTAGTTTGCATGGCATTTTATATTGAAAAGCCCTGCCTGGATTCAGTGATTAGCAGCACTGTACCAGCATTAAGGAATTCCTTTTGGGATAACTGGTAACAGCATTTCTGAGGAGGATTATCAATGCAGAAGGAATAGCTCCCTCTCCCACTACCACTAGAAGACAAGTAAGATGCTTTGAATCATTAGTTGCAGCCCTAGAAAGATCTGTTGTCTCGAGAGGCTTCAGGCCTGAGGCATGCAACAGAGTGTCCACGAATGGTGACCCTGGCACGTCTGAGGATCTAAATAAGATTCAAACATTCCTCAAAAAAACTCTGATTAAGCGGTGGTGTTTTGTTTTTCTTTTATTTTTAAGGTGTCTTCACACAAATTTAAGACCCACAGGTGCAAACTGAGAGGGACAAGCACCGTTCAAGTCCACTCACCTTCATGGGGGGGTATTTATGGTAAGGAGCCGCCCCCGTAGCCAGCTCGATAGCGGTGATTCCAAAGCTCCAGATGTCTGCCTTGAAATCGTATCCTCTGACCTGAAAAACAGCAGGGGGTGTCAGCACGTGAGTCTTTTGCTCTCCTGCAGCACAACTCCTTTCTTTAGCCCTTGCCCTTGTCCGAAGGACACATCCTTTTGTCCTTTCTCCTCCTTTCTCAGGAGGGATTCGGAGAGAGCAACACCATAACCTTAAGTGCAGATGCAAGGAACGATTGCCTTACATTTTCCCTTACATTTTCCTTACAATTTCAAGCAAGAAGTGCAGTAAATGTTCCAGCTATTAAAACTGCAGACTCTTGCAGCCAGGATTGCCTTAGCACAGGCCATTCAGAACGTGCAGTGCAGGAGGGCACTGGGTTCAACCAGGCTCCAACTTCCCCAGCACTGAGTGCCATTAAGCAGCGTGTTGCAGGGTTAACTTGCAGTTAATACATGCAGGGTTATCCCCTCGGGAATATTTGCCTTTATCTGACACTTTTAGTCAACCACTTACCCGATGCAACAGCAAACATGCTCGATCCTGAGACTTCAGGGCTGGAAAGTAGAGCCTGGCTCAGTAAAAAGCCCCTCATTCCTGCCTGCAGAGTAATATTTCCCTCCACTGTATGTTTTTTGCAGTGACTAATTGTAATTTCTTCGCTTGACATTAAGCACAGACTTGTTCAGGGAAATTTATAGTATTTACTTCCCCTCAAGCACAGGAAAAAATATTGCACGGGCCAAGGCAGTTACTTCCTTGCTATCATTAGGTAATATTTTGGCACTTGCTTGCTGGGCTGCAGGGGACGGACGTTGTGTCCTAACGTCAAGAAGAGCCACAGAAACCAGAGGGCTTTGGCTGTTGGAATTGCTTCTGGCTAAACCATGGAAAAATTAATACGGAATCAGAGCAAAGCTAATGGGGATACTGTGTTCAGCCAAATTAACAAGATCTGAGAAGACGTGCGCTGTGTCAAAACCTAAAATGTAGCCCCAAACGCTTTTGAGATGGTCTTGAATTTTGAGAAGCAAAAACCATCTCCTTCTTCTAAGACTTTTCAAATGTTTTCCTATTGTGATGCTACAACTGAATTAAAATTTATTGTGCTATAGCAAGAACACTGCATCTTCCACTGACTTCCCATCTTTGGGGGCATCATTTCCACAGCTCCTGAGCATCTGGGAGGGTCTCGAAGTGCTGCAGTTTAGGGATGCCATAGTTTGAATGGATTTCAAACAATTTTAACTAAAGACAGATACCTTAAAGGCTTTATAAAAACACAGTACAGGAAGAAATAGGTTTTATAAATTCAAGTTTCCTCATTCTATTTGTTTAAGTTTTTGAGAATAACTTTGGCACACTTCCTAGCTTTCTCTCTCAGATAACCTGCCAATAAATCCATATACTGTGCAATTTCCCTTCTCCGGGAACATTTACTAAACCACATAATCCTGCTTGCAAATGAAAATCTGCAAGTTCAAAAGTTTCTGCAGCAGTTGCTCTTTTTGACATTTATCCAGTCACTAATCCACAGTTAAGTTACAACAGCTTTTAATTTTCATCAACTTTTTTTTTTCTTAAATTGATCAAAACAAGTATATTTTTCAAAACCAGAATAGCAGAATATCATGTATTTTCATGCTAGAGGAAATTAGCTCTGCTGAAGTAAAACAAACAAAGTTGAGGCAATAATACCCAGATAAAGAGGGCCGACCTACAGCAACCCCTTTTGTCCTCCCCATCAGATATGATGGCTCAGAGTGACACCTGCTGGAAGACACCAAGATGATATAAGCCAACTTGGAAAGATTTCTTTGGAGCATCCCAAATATTCCCTACCATCTAATCCTTGCAACAAGTTAAAAGCTCAGCCTTCAAAAGGAGTGAATTCTCTAGAAAACTCATCTCCTTAGGAAACCCTTGAAGTGTTTCCCATCCAAAATACCTCCTTCCCCTCACTAAATTGGGGGCCTTATTCAAATTCCTCCCAAATTCCAAAATATTTTGTAGTGACTGCTATGAAAAAAAAAGAGGAATGAGCCAGATTTACTGTAATAAAACAATGCTGTTCCAAAATATTTTCGTTTGAAACACTGGGGCAAGAAGCAGAGGAAGGACACACACAGTGAGCGTATTTCTGCTTGGTGCACATGCCAAAAAGCCAACCTGGAGCCCAGTACACTCTCGAGATGTTTTTAAGGTCCTGGGGGATAATTTTGGGGATGCTTAGGGCATTGAACACCAACGCAGTGGGAGCTAGCTGCAAAATGCCTTGTTGGGCCTGCAATATAATGTTGCTGGTGGATCTTGCTCCAAAATGGGCAGCATCTTCCCTTAAGCAAGGGCTGCTGGTGGCCTTCAGCAACGGTCCCGCAGACAAAGCTGACGGCCACAGTTTAGTCTAGAAGGGGTAAAGGACACAAAGCGACAGGTCTGAACCCACCAGGAAGGACGATGACATCTCCGAGGGAGCCAAAACCACGGAGCAGCAGGAGGGGGGGATGAGTGTGCCTGAATATTCACAGCCTGAATGAGCTCCTCAACTGCAGACGGCTTTGCTGGAGTAACTCCCCACTCAGACATGCTGCAATTAACTGTCTTGAGTTGGCGTATTTGCAAATGCTGAAGAAGGTGCTCCTTGCTGTGCACATGCAAATTCAACACGTGTGTGCAACTATCTATATCGCACCTCACACCTTGGCATGAGGAAAGAGGCAGGTTATTCCTCTTTATACCAAGGCTAAGCTGTCTCAGACTCACCTGAGGTAGAATCCTGCAGAGATGGAATAGGGTAAAAAGCTACCAAATGCCAAATACCCCATCCCCAGCTGTGAAAAATAAACCTAGGGCAATCCTGCAGCTTTAAAGCTTCACCAAATGCAAAATAACCACGTTAGGTTCAAGGAAATATGGTCAGTGCTGACAAGAGCAGCATGTGAGGCAAGAGGCAGCTCACCTGCTCCATGACTTCTGGTGCCATCCAGCACGGGGTGCCCACAAACGTTTTTCTCACTTTATTTCTCGTAATATCGCCGCCCGTCGCCAAAAACGCGCTAACGCCGAAGTCTGGAAACGGAACAAGAGAGATTTTAGTAAGAACATCCTGAGCAAATAGACCGGCTGTTCCTCCCACAACACATGTCACCTATTGCCAGCCACCTATCGAGTACTAAGCCATAAAGTTACCATTAAGTTATGCATGGGGAACCTTCTAATGAATTACAAATGACCGAGAGATTGCTACGAACATATAAATATATATATACACACATTTTTTTAAAATGATCTTTTAAAATTATTTTTTTTACCTTTTTTTAAAGTTATTTACCTCTATTTATTTCCAACTAGCACCTTCTTGTATCTCCTGCCTTACAAAAGCCCTGATTATTTACAGCAACAGAAATTTTCTGAGCAAAATAGTCATGCACATAAGGTGTATTAGATATCCTAGAGTTTAGCTGATATCTGCATCCTGACACAAGGAGGGGTCAGACTATTCGTGGGGATGTAGCATTACCCGAATGGGCTTTGCTTGATGATCCCTCCATCCCCAATAGGTTCAGGGCTCGGAGGTTGGACACCAGATACTATTCCCTTAAAGGCGGCAGCAAGGTGGTAAAATAGGGCAGCACATCCCCAAAACTTTCATACATTGCAGGACGTCATGGAAAAGGGGATCAGCAAACAGCAGCAGTGCTGGGAAGGCAACGGGATACAATATGTTTGGTTGGAGAGGAGCATTACAAAAGTAGATTTGGCAACGGAGCCCCTATGATTCAAGAGGGGATGACAGAGACTTTCCTTGGAAAAAAGAAAAATCAGGTGAGAGCGAAACTGTAAACACAAACTGCCAAAGTATTTCCTCCCATCTTGCTCTGAAGTACATGCCTTTTGCATTGCGAAATTATAGATCTGTAACTGCTCATTCCGTGTAACTCAATATTACTCCTATTCACCTTCTTCCAGCGTGCACAAATGACAGGTCTAAGTCTGCACAATCTTTAATGTGACTTTTGAGATTAGGTTTGGAGGATGAGTGCCTTCAACTCGGGGGATATCTTATATAAAGCATTAGTCACCACATCTAGTTGGAAACCATTAAAACATAACTGCCTGGCACAGGTAATTGCTCCTGCAAAAACCCTAGCTGTGAGAGCAATGAGGTTACTCGATGGCTGAAGGGTGTTTTCCTCACTGGGAATTATCTGCTACAATTGGATGTTTTTTCCAGATTCGCCAGCAACAGCATCCACTGGGGAAGAGCCTCCAGGTTCCCCCCATCAGGGTCCTTTCTCACCGGGCTCTCAAAATATGAGAAACATCAGTGAAATAATCATTCAGAAGAGTAACACACTACTGTTTCCAGCTTACTCTGATTAGACATTGCAGGACAGGAACTTAGCATTGGCTAAAACACCAGGCAGTTATAACCAAAAATTCACAATAAAGAAGGTTTCATAGAAGTCACAAGGCTAAAACAAGCGCAAACAAACGCCTCTTGTTGTGTTCTGCTCTTCCACATGATTTGTACAGTCCTCTTCCTTGGAGGCATCTCGCACTGCTGCTGCTGCTGACCTTGCAATTTCAATATTGGCTGGTGGAACACACAATTCCTAGCAGCACTGCTCCCTTTTCCGGAAAACTCCCTAGACTGGCCATTTACAACAGGAGTTTTCCATTGTGATCTTCCACGGACACATCCATCACCCCTGCTCCTCTTATAAACTGAATCAGAATCCAAAAGAGATGTTCCAAGTTAGTGGCACTTTACTGTTTATTATAGGTAGCCTCGTAAGATCTCTTCTTCTAAACAAGGGCAATTTAAAAAAAAATACCAGCATTATCTTTAATTTACATAAATGGCCCAAGTGCCATCAGCATCCTGTTGTGATGAGCTGTATTTAAACCTGTGCGTATCATCTTACCTCCAGTTTCCATGCAGTCATCCCAGGGGTAAAGACCACGCAAAGCAAAAGCCTCCCAGCAATACCAACACCAAGCCCCTGGGCAGCGCACGCCGCGTTCGCTGCGTCTCCCATCCAGCACGAGGCACGTTTATAAATTCCCACTGTTTGGATTTGGGCCCCTACATCTGTCATCTGAGGTCGGGAGAGAGCCTAAACGGAATTAAACTGTGCTGCATTACATGGTTGATTTATTCAGTGTTTTCCCAATCAATTGTACTCATTTCCAACTGGCTCCAACAACAACAGCACATCCAGCGTCTGCTTTTAGGCATGATTTTGAAATGGTTTTCTCAAACGTCACCTTACTAATTTAAACTGAGTCCCGACTCAAGATAAGAGCGTGCCTGTTCTCAGGAAATACCTGCAAAGCAATAAATTCAACGCTAACCTCGAGTGAGGGTGTAATCCCTGCTTCTGAGAGGCGGTCAGGATCTGTCTCTGTTTTACAGGACATTTCTAACCAAAACACTTTGATTTTTAACTCCTGCTGCGCCTGCACTGAAAGAGACGAGCAAAAACTTAAAGGTATTTACACTAAAGGTATTTATACCTTTGCTCTTAACTGGCAGCTTATATTTTATACAGGGTCACTACAGGATAACTGGGAGGCTGCCTGGTAGTGATAACTCTGCAAGAGCAAGAGGAATCAGGAATGTTTGGATCTCGCTTGCAGTGCCAGCTATCGCCACTGCTGGGAATGCAGCTACTGTCAGACACTCAGAAGAGCCCCAAAAGTTCAGACTTTTGGCACAGTAAATAATTTTCTGGCTCCAGGGGCTGTGGAAGCAGCGGAATTTTTCTTCCCCCCAAGCTGCCTTTGGTTCCTATCACTGGAAGCAGTCCAGGAGATGAATCTTTCCTATATTGCTTCAGAAAAGTGATTAAAAAGATACTTACACCACAACTAAACCAATCTGGAGTAGAAAGCGACAATTCTGTCAACATGGGTTTTGCAGAAAACACGGTGGATTTTACTTATTTCAGCAGAAATATCACATGATGCAACCTATACACCCCTCAAAACATTCTGCAGGGATAATGAAGTTGAGGGGGAACGTTTGGAAAGACCTGGTGTTTTGAAGCATTGGGCACTGACGCTCTTCTCCTCAAGAGCTTGTCAGCATCATCAGTTCTACTCAAACCTAGAAATCAGCAATAAAAAAGAAAATTCACATCTCTTTAGCAATCTGAAGCCACAGTGCTACCTTATCTGTAAGAAGCCTAAAGGCCATAACCAGCCAGCACATAAGAAGTGACCCATGGTTTCCTCTCTGCACGTAGCAAGGGAACTTCAGCCTTCCTGCAGCGATGCCAGCACACATACAGGGCTAATAAATGCCTTACACTAAGGAAATAAAAAGGCTGCTTTGAAATCTGGCCTCAACATGTTAATAAAGACACCTTAATATTGCACAAAGACTAAACACAGGCCACCCTGGTGCAAACACTGCCCTGCAAGTTGTTTCTGTAGCCCAACGATGCGACAACCCAAACCCCTCCAGGGCCGCCAAGGGCAAATCGCTCCCATTGAGCTGTTTTAGGGGCACAGAAACTGCGACCTCGAAACACACATCAGAAACCCAAGTGAGCAACTCCAATTCAAGCACTTTCACCTCCCAAAGTGACATTTTCCTAATGCAAAGTGAGGGGAATGGTGGCAACAGCATCGCACCCAGATGCTTGTACAGAGTGTTGTTTTGGGACAATGAATTAAGAGCTGTCAGGAACACAGCAAAACAGTGACAAGTTGGCATGGGTTTGTGGAAAGTTGCACAAAATCAGTTACACGAGGTGCATTTTTTTTTTTTTTTTTGACCTGGCTTTAACCATCCCCGTTTTATAACTAGATAGAGCAAGAGGGGTCAGGAGACTTGCCTAGTATCAGTCACCAAATCCCAGGCAACTCTGCAAAGTCTCCATGTGCTTAGACTGTGGAGCAAGGCAGCCTAGGTGGGAAACCGCAGGAATGCCAAACTCCAAGGAAAAGCAGCCCCTCCAGGCAGCTGCTCATCCTGCCCCGTTCCCTTGAGCAGGGCTCACACTGAGCAGGTTCTGCATCCTCAGCAGCCTGTTACAAGCTAAATAAATTATTAATCCATTGAGCCTGGATCACTCAGAAAGAGAGAGGAAATCTCCTCCTTTTTAGAGCTGTATCAGTGCTGACCAAAGGGGGTCATATCAGTGTAGCTTTTAGATGCCAGGGAGCCCATAAAGGCCAATGCAAAGAGGTTTTTATGTTCTGGTATTTTTGTTTTCTTTATTTACTGCAATAATTGCCACGGAGAGGCTGGAACAAAAGCGTCGCCTCTTGCTGTGCATTGGAAGCACCTCCGTGCTAGGCCCGGTGTCTAGGAAGGGAGGTCTTGCTCCCTTAAAAAAGATATATTAATCTGGTGTGTGGGGAAAAGCTTCTGTGTTTAAGGGTGCTAAATCACACAGGGCTCCAAAAATAACTGCTGTCAAGGCATGGACCCAAGCAAAAAAAAAAAAAAAAAAGAGAGAGAGAAAAAGAAAGGAAATTAAACATTGGAGAACAGCCCCAGCCTGGATCTCACTGGCCAGCTCTGTCTGTTAAAGGCAGTTTTAGGCCCTGCTTCAGTGGATACGCATTTTGAAAGCGAAAGCAGCTACACAGTTAAAAATAGACACAGCCAAGAGTAAAAATACCAAGTTCTAGGGCTCAGGGAGGAGTCTGAAGCTCCACATTTGTGGAGGCCGTTGCGGGAATTTTTAGCATTCCTGGCTTCCAGCGACGGCCTCGTTGGATTCACAGATTCCTCCTCCGCTGTTTTATCTGCCGCCGGCCTGGGCTGGTAGCGCTGCAGCAGCAGCTCCTGCATCCGAAATGCCTCTGTCAATGAGGAGAGGTGGAGACACCTTCACCCGGGTACCTTCCACACTCGGGCTTTTAGAGTTGGACAGTCCCCATTGACTGCACGGACTTGTTTTTGAGGGAGTAAAAGCGGTCGGAATGATCTGTGTAAAGTTGCCACCATGAATGATATGCAGAGGGAATCAAGTGTGAATCACGAAATACATGAATTAAGTTCACTAGTATCATGTGATGGTGTAAACCACGGCAGCTCATATCACAAAACCACAGAATCCTTAAGATTGGAAGGGACCTTTAGAGATCACCTAGTCCAACCCCCTGCACACACAGGGTCACCTAGAGCACAGGGCACAGGGCTGCATCCTGGTGAGTTTGGAAGATCTCCAGAGAAGGAGACTCCACAACCTCTCTGCGCAGCCTGTGCCAGGGCAATGTCACCCTCACAGTGAAGAAATTTTTCCTTAAGTTCCTGTGGAACTTTTGGTGCCTCAGCTTGTGGCCGTTTCCTCTAGTCCTATCCCTGCTCACCACTGAAAAGAGGCCGGTCCCATCCTCCTCAGTGCCTCCCTTGAGGTATTTATACACGCTGATCAGATCCCCCCTCAGCCTTCTCTTCTCCAGGCTGAACAGGCCCAGCTCTCTCAGTCTTTCCTCACAGAGCAGATGTTCCAGGCCCCTGATCATCCTCATAATCCATCTCCTTCAAGGGAGGTCCTGACTTACCCAAGGCCTCAGGTTTCATTCCACAGCTGATTATTTTTTTGCCCCCTCCCCACAGTGTAACTTACTGTATATAAATCTAATCATGCCATGAGAAGGCAGGGATGTTGTCAGGCTGATAACCAAAGCACTCCGCTATAAACTGCATTACTCATAAAATGCATTAATATTGCCACAGGAAAATGGGTTGGACTTTGCCAAAATGCAAGTCTTACTTTACTGGGATTGCTTTGCTATTTCCAACTTTTTCCCCCCACTTCTTAAAAAAAAAAAAAAAAGAAAAGAAAAAAAGAAAGAACATACTTGAGAGAGATCTTGCTATTTCAGTCCAGGTCAGACCAGAAGGAAGCTGAAACGTCAGAAATTCCCACAAAAAACAACTCCCATGTTCTGACCAGGTCAGGCTCTTCTCTAGTATTCACTCATCCATTCGTTTTTGTGGCTTTTCAGGTCCATCAGCTGCCTCCCCTAAAAGCGCAGGGGCTTCCTGCCACCACTGCAAACCTTGTGACCGCGGTCGAGTTCAGTTGCTTCACTTGCTCTTGTGGAAGGTTTCAAAATTAAGGCCTTGCAAGAGGTTTGGGGCAAAAAAAAAACCACACGCAAAGGGGAACTTTGCACATCTTGCCGTTCCCATCATTTAAACACTGCAGCTTAGAGAAGCCCAGGACAGATGAGTCCCAGGGAAGCTCTACTAAAGGGAGACACAATAAATCACCAGTGAGCCTAAAAAAAGACGAGGGCCACAAGCAGCTTTCTGCTCGGCTGGCAGCAGCGCTGGAACAACAGTGCCCTGTGCTAATGCAACAGCTATTTGCAGCCTCTCCCAGAATATAATCTGCCGCAATTACAAATCCAAACTGCTCCGTCTTGGCCCCACGATGGAAAAAGCCCGTAGGATTTTATTAATGTGCAGCTTGCTCCTGGAAGCCCCACCCTGCCTGGCAGCACTTGCCACATGGGATGAATTATTTGCACTTGGTTAGAAATGCAACAGCAGGCGAGAGCCCTGGGGGACTTCAAAGGGAAAATAAAGTTGGATTTTAGACCAGAGTCCTGGGCTTTAAGTGTTGAGTCTTCCCACACCAAGGCTGGTTATCGTCTGCAGAGAGAGAAGAGCTACCTGTAAAAGCTCTGTATTGCACTATGGTATTTTTCTGGGAGAAAACGGGACACCTTTCATATGGAGATGCAAATCCAGGCATGGGTTTGCCAAGGAGGGGCAAACTCCCTCCTGGCACTGCAGGATGCAGGGCTGCAAAGCCCTTGTCCCTTCACCCGCAGCAGAGCAGCTCCCAGAGCTCCTACAGGCTTTGCCTGATTGACTCAAAGGATGAGAAAAAGTCCTGTTGGGGAAAGTCCTGTTGCCTGCTGGCAAAAAAAACCTTTTTCCACAGAAGACATATGATCCACCTACACCAAGGAGCATTTCCAACATATTTGTGCTGCTGCAGCTTATAACAAGCAGCGAGTACAAACAGCAGACACCTCCTCCTCCTCCTCCAGGCACATTTGTGCTCGCTAAAGCAACCGCTTTAACAGCTCTCCCTACCACATCCCTTGGGACAGCAGCTCACTTGCTTGCAAGGCTCTCTCCAAGATTTCCAGTTTGTCCCATTTGGGACTGGGTTAGTCCCTACAGTAAAACACACGCTCTGCTGCTTGGCTTAGCTCAAGCAGCCACCTGAGCAGTGTGACCAGCACATCTGCAGCTATAGCAAAGTTACAACTCATTTTTACATTTAGAGACATCAATTTCCTTCAGATGTATCCACCAGCTACTTACCTTTGACCACCCTTTTGAACACACCTTACACAGGTCATAAATCAGGGGTATCTGTGCAGCACGCTGTTTTTCAACCCTATGAAGTTGCTGTTCTACAAATCTGGCTAGTTTATCTAGTCAGATTTTGATTAGGAGCTTTATCTACTTACACTGATTTGTGGACTTAATAGCCAAAGGATTTATTCACATTAACAGTCATCATTTCAAAGACTTACTTTAAAATATCAAAGTTTCTTGACAATAACATTCTTATAGTTTTGAAGGACTTTTTGCCATTATAACATCTATGCAGAGTCACAGCCAAAGTTTATTCAAAGCCATTGGAAAAGTTACCTGCAATTTGCACTGAGCCATCTTCCCCCAGAAGAATATTTCCTGCTTTCACATCCCTGCAGAAAAATAAAGCGAGAGTAAGCGGAACTCAGTAAAATTTCCTCCTTTCAACCAACAAAACCACTTTTTTCCCTTCCAACACTTTCGCTTTCCAACCTTTTCCACATGCATTTTGTTGCAACATCTCCCTTGCTTTCAATCAAGCAGAAGGCTGCCTGCAAGACAAGGATGCTAAAGACAAATTGAACAGCAAATGGAAGCTGACAGGAGCCTTCAGTCAGCCTTTGAAAGAGTATTTTAAGCCCTGACAAATGACTGCCTCTTGCTGACAAGGAGCATTCCAGGGCCAAACATCTGTTTGAGGCATTGGTATAAGAGGTACTACAAGAAAATTCATTACTAACTTGCTTTACTGGTCAAGAAAGCTTAGGTATATATGGAAATGCTGAAGTTACATTAATAGAGAAGGTGATTTAATAGCAGAATGGGATTTAAAGCAACGAGAAGCTGCGACAGCGATGCTGGAATAACTAGATAAGCATAAAACACGCTCACAGTTGAAGCAATGCTATAAATGCCACAGGTGCATAAGGAATTTCCTAAAAATATTTTTTTTTGCCTACTAGTGCATGAGAAAGCCAAATCTTGGTCCATCTCATCCCAGCAGCCTAATGAAGGTATGCAAAAAATACAGGTTTACATGAGGGTGATGAAGGCAAAACAGGCAGAGGGGCTTTTTATTAAATTATCTGCCTGTTACCAGTGCTGAATCACAGCCCTGCCCAACGGTGCCCACGAGCTCCACGAAACAGGTAATAGTTAAAGGTCCCTGCAGACGAGAAGGCACCGACGCTGCTGGGATGGGGGCTCTCAAGCACCCCGAACAACCCGAGAGATTAAATACAACGTCAGGCAGGTGGCAACGTCCTCCCCTGTAGCATCCGTTACCCAGCACAGCCAGAGTAAATCACCATTTTAATTAGTGTTGCAAAAGGTGGGCACTTTCTGCAGAAGGGCTCATGGACAGTGCTTAGGTAGAAGGTTCCCCTGGGAGCTACGGAAGCGCCAGGGCCGCGTTCGTGCTTCCCGGTGGGATGCGCTTGGCACCTCTGGGAATCCTCCCCTCCCGGTCACGCTCCTGGGAATGATTATTCCACGGCAGCAGGGGTGTTTCCCAGCACTTCCAGGCTGGGCGGGAAAGGAAGGGACGGTGCCCAAAGCTCTTGCTGGAGCTACTGCTGCTCTTGCCCATGCAGCCCCCATCTGTCCTTCCAGCCACGCTCCAGCACGGCCCAGGACAGCGAATTCCCAACCATGATGCACAGCAGGGTCCAGAAACCCCAGCCAAATTGCTGCTCTAGGCATCAGCCCTCCCAATGCAGTTTTCTAAATTCAGCTTGGATTAAAATTAGCGTGAATTCTTGGTGGAAGTAACCACCAGTGAACACAGAGCTTTGGCTCAGAAGATCATGAAAAATCATGGCTACAACAAGCAAGGCAGTGACGGCCACCACCAGCTACACAAGCCCAACTAAGGGATTAAATTAGGGCTTAACAGGGCATTTCCTGCCCCTGACCAAGGCCGCGGTGCCATCACTCCACCCCTAGAGCAGCAAAGCGGGTCAGAGGCAACGGGATGCTGAGACATCAGCTCCGTTTCGGAATTACTGGGTCCTGGAAACACCTTCCAGGCCTGCCCTTTTTCACCTGTATCAGCATCACTTGTAGCATCCTCAGTGCTGGGTCAACGCTGGGCGGACAGAGGCCTCCTGCTGCAGCGCCCCGATGCTCCTGCAGCATCTCCCAATTTAGCACCATGTTTAAGCTAAATTAATTACATTTAAAGCAACTTAGAGGAGGAGGAGGGCAGAGGAATGGCAGTTTCCTGTTTATTCTGTTGAGGAGAAGCCTCTAAATTCACCAGCTGAAGAGCAAGGAGTTTGTTACTGCAGGATGCAGCTGCTGCCAAGTACAACACTTTGAAGGTGCTTCCCACTAACATGGACACAACCAGATCCGGCGGATGCAGAATCACTGGCGGCCTCCGGCAAAATTACTGTGTTGGAAACAGGAAGCACCCCTAGGTCACAGCAATGGTAATTATTTTGCATGGTAAACGAAGTAACAGAGTACCAGAGTAAACATTCCCTTGTCAGCAGCTTAGCGCACGCTAACATCCTTTGGGGCATCTCTACTCCATAGCTCGCGCTTTCCTCTCTTCTTGAAGCTTCCAAGAGTCTTTCCCTAAAACAGCATTGATGTTTTTATTCACCTTGCACACCTGGATTGGGAAGAAGGGCTTGGATGCCCTCTGGTGCACAGAGATGCTCCATGCTATCCCAGAAAGGCTTCACAGTGGGGCTCCAAAGCTGGACCGAGGGCACTTGTTTCACACAGCCAGGCCACGTTAGACCCTACATAAACAATGTTAGGCCCTATATGAACAATCTGGATCTCCCAAACCACCAAAAATACGAGAAAGTGCCCAGATAGAAGGGACTTGGGAGCACAGGGCAGCTCCTCACAGAGCGCCAAGGTACCAGCTGCAACTCTGCAATCCAGGCGAGCGCAACAAAACTCCCCATTACTGACTTCTAGTAAATTTGGCTTCTGCAGGAAAAGGAGTGCAGTATTTTAAGAGGCTCGTTGAAAAGCAGCAACTTCACAGGATGTGGAAATCTCAAAGGAGCTGCCTGAACGCCAGCCCACATCTGGAGCAACCATTACTTGAGGCTAATGAAGATGCAGCCACTTCAGCGACCTGAGCAAAGAGCAACCCAGCACCGAAGGAGCCAAATGATAAAATCGAGGAGGAAATAGAGGTAAATTCTGTTATGCCTCCTTTTCTAGCCTGCTGTTCGTGCCTTTAGGATGCAGGGCTGTCTGTCAGCACAGCCATGAGTCATCTGCCCATTAGACAGGATTTACATCAGCTGGAACAATACATTTTCATAGACTCAACTCCATAGGGCATAATTTGGGATGAGGAAGTAATGGTTGGACCTGCCAAGTTTTATGCAAAAAAAAAAAAGTGCAAGACGCAAGAATAATTATTTTTTGGTAATGGTACCTCAAAATATTTTTACTGGATACAACCTTTTGCTGCAGTCAACGTTATCAAAGTAATTTGCAAAATGCTTCCAGGACAATATTTCTACTTCCAATTAGATATGAAGCAATTTGCCGCATTACAGGCCAAATGAGCTCAATTCTCCCTCTGCTGTCAAACATCATTCCCCCTCCAGCAATATGTTACCTGTGTCCCCTCTTTCCTTTGTGTTATAAGCCAAGATATAAACCATTGGCTATAAGAGGTTTATCAGTAGAGACAGCTGCAAAATAGAAACCAGGTTTGGGCTACACAAATGCAAAGAAATGTCTTTATTCCCCCCAAAGTCAGTGTGTTTGGTGTAATATAACAGATTACAAGCAAGACAACCACAGAAGTGCAGTAAGCGAGCCTAAGTTGGTCCCACTCCAAAAAAAAAAAAGTTGTGTTTTAAGCAAGGCCCTCAACACTGCAGAGGTTTGGGGCTTGGCCCCCAGTTTTGGGGTTGGATGCACCTGGCTGCCCAGTCCAAGTCTCACAAGAGTCGGGGCATTTCTAAAGCTTCAGCTTCCCAGGCAGAGGTACAAACACTTGGCTTAACTGTCAGTGGAATCCCAGAACTGTCAAAATGGTTGAGGGTGGAAGGGACCTCTAGAGATCACCTAGTCCAACCCCCTGCTCCAGCAGGGACACCCAGAGCACGGGGCACAGGGCGGCATCCAGGTGGGTTTGGAAGACCTCCAGAGAAGGAGACTCCACAGCCTCCCTGGGCAGCCTGTTCCAGGGCTCTGGCACCCTCACAGTCAAGAAGTTCCTCCTCACATGCAGATGGAACTTCCTGCGTTCCAACTTGTACCCATTGTCCCTTGTCTTGTCCCCAGCCACCACCAGTAGTCAAGTGAAGCTTAGGATGGTTCAGTAACAGATTCCAGTCTCGGATTTTACCTCCCATCACTGTGCCTTAAGCCCAGCATCAATAGGATTTAAAAAATATATATTTTTTTAAGTTACTGTTCCATGATATTTTGGGGATTTCTTCCACAAATTCATCAGTCCTTCCATTTCCTGGTCTTGCTGCCTGCACCTTGCAATGGAGAGCAGGCACAAAGCTCCTTCAGCAGCTGCTGCCCCAAATCCCCAGGACAAGGCACACGGTGGCTGCCTCCTTCCCTGCAGACCCAGGTGTCCCTGAGAAGCTCTGCTTTGCTCATCAGCAACGGTGGGAAAGGCTCCAGTTGGAACCTGGCCTTACTTGAAGGCTTCGTATCACTTATTTAATGGGAATTGGTGGGAGTGCTTCCTGTGGCCTGCACGGCTTCATGTCATAAGTAGGCAAAAATACATTCTGATACAGCCTTACAAAATTTTTAAGAGTGCTAAATAAAGTATCACAAAAATGAAGTAACAAGCCTATTTCCTATGCATTAGCTGAATATGAGATGCTTAAGGCACCTCCATTTAGGTAGCTCTTAGGATCTATAAAGGCTAGAAAGTCTATTGTCTGTTGTTGTAACACAACATTCAAAGACATCTTATGGAAATGGATTATTCACTCGATACATTATAGTAGAAAATACCAACAGGATGAACGTCAATGATTTAAATTGCTCTTACTGGAAAGATGTTTTAAGAGCTTGCACTGGGCAATTTATTTCCAATAATCCATACCAGATAAAGCAGTGACACGACAGGTATCATGAACATGGTAACTGTAAGTAAAGGTGGATGGATTTTGAGGGAATCAAACGGCCAAAGCTAAGGGAGTTTGTTGCATTCTCACCCGGTAGAATTAATGCTGCAGCAGATGCAGATTATTCACTGGAAAAACTTCAAACCCAAACAATCCTGACAACCCAGCAACTGCCAGAAACAACACTACTTTAATATGCAACCTCGTTATGGATCGCCAACCAAAACGCATAATTGCTGCTGAGGCTCTCGCAGATCACCTTGGTCTCCACTTCCCACTCTTAGGACATTTTCTTGCTTCTAATCCCCATGGAACAAACTGTTATCCAAGTGGGGAGGAACTAAAACTGGAAACGTTCCTCTTGCTTTTCATGTGGTTTGTAACTGGTGTATAAGGAACAAAAAAAAGTTGTGTTTTCCTTGGGCTAAATCAAAATGTTTCGAGTAACTGCAGCCCACGCAGCAACCTCAAAGTCCAGAGGCAGCACTCGGGTCTGTGGCGAGTGACACTGAAGAACAGCCAGCTTCCAAATTACTCAGGATCTGCTTTAAAACCCAGCTGGCCCTTGGAGGTGAAAGGCTCAGGATCCTGCTGTCCACGCCTCAACCCTCGTTTCATTTCCAAGAATTGGCGTCCCCAAAGCAGGACGGCAGCACTAGGTGAAGGGGGCTGTGCAGGTCTGCTGCAATATTGCTGCAGGAGCAAACTGCAGCACTTCAGCCCTCAAAACCACCTGTGGCAACCCAAAATCCGTATTTAGCAGTTCCTGCCAGCAAAGCTCTCAGTGCATTAATCAGCTATGTGAAAATTAAGCTTGAGTTCTGTAGGACACTTGAGCTCTACCAAAATGCATCCCCTGGCTTTTACCTAAACTCAGAAGTCACCTATTCCCCCGGGTTTTACCTTAACTCAGAAGTTACCTCTTTGAGGCAAGTTCCTGTGAAACGACACATACAAGTGCTGTTCATGCACCTATACGTAAGTATATGTACACACAAAAATAACCCTTTTTTCAGAAATTCTCTTAATATAGACAGAAGAGCCAAGCAACAAAGTCTTGATCTTATGCCAAAGCAACCCCAAGCTCCACAGAAACAGGCACATCGATTCTGGGCATAAAAATATAACCAGAACGTTGCTTTGGGGTCTCTTCAAAGCAAGGCTCAAGGGTGCTGCCCTTAAACCCACTTCCCAAGCTTTACTTAACAAAAAAAAATGCTGTTTTCTGTTGTTAAGCAGCGATTGAAGAATCTGACTATATAAAAGGGTTTGGACAACGTATCGCTTCACCTGGACTAACTGAAATACTCAGTTACACAACAGCTAATCAGGAGCAGGAGATAAGCCGGGAGATAAAAATAAGGAGAGAGGCAGCGGGGCCTTGGAGCTGTTAATCGTCGCGACTCGTTTGTGAGGCTGCCACAAAGGGAACCACCTGGGAGCTTTGAACCCCCCTCCAAGGAGCCACCTGAACCAACAGAACAGCCCCGCTTGCTTTTGGCTCTGCTTTTATTCCCAAGACGTCCATCAAGGGCCTGGATAATCCCCGAAGGAGCCAGAGTCCAAACGGGCAGAGGTGCCCGCGGCCTCCGCGTCAGGCGGGCGGGATTAGCCGGGCAGTGACCCCGGCAGGGTGTCGCTCCCGCCCGGTCGCCTGTGACCACAACAACCTGCCTGGCCGGAGCCCTGCGAGCTTCCGAGCGGGGTCCTTGGTCCTCAGTGCTGGATGGAGGCCGCGTGTCCAACAGGAGCTGCATCCCCAGGGCCTCTGGTGCTGTCGGGATCACCGCTCTCCGCAGGGAACAGCACCTTGGATCAGCTCCGATGGTTTTGCTGATTTTGCAGGAATATTTGCAACCCAACAGCTAAATACTTATTTTAGAAATACCATTTCTGAAGATGCAATTTATCCTTTCCTCTTCTTCGTAAAGCAGACTGCAAGACCCTTAAATAAAAGCAAAACACATCCCTGCCAGGGGACGACCCTGCCGGGGGAGACCCCGGCGTCGGCTTCCGAATAACGACACACGTCCAGGTCCGAGCTCAGCTCAAGTTGTGAATTAGCAAAGCGAACAAGAAGATGTAATTTAAACCTCTGCGAGATATTTGGCTCTCTAATCCCCTGTATAAAACACTGTCAAGCAATTCCCCTGTCCAAAGCCAGGCACTGGCTCCACCACATGAACGTGGCACCCGAACCTTAACTGGAAGTGGCACTAAGTTTGAGACAAGCTTATGCGCAGTGAGATTCAGCAGCAGCAGAGTTTCATTAAGCCAGTTTTCCACGTGTTAACTCAAATCACCCATTTAGGATGATGCATAATTTAAAAGCAGCAGGCACCTCCCCCGCCACATACGCTGTCTGCTCTCACTTGTGATTTACAGCCCCAACCCGTCCCCGCTTCGGGCTGGCGGCTCCCACTGCGCTCCATTCGGGACCAGCTCCTCAACCTTGGCAGCACAAGGTCCATCCCCGGACATGCCGACCACGTTCACTTCACCCAGATCACATCTCTTCCTGGTACCAAAGGCATTATTTTCCCGAGGCTTTGACACACCGAATTCCCCATTTGTCACCGACCGAACAGGCGCTTTGTGCCACTCTTTGCTTTGGGTTTAGTGTCACATCTGAGCAACGCCCTTGACTCTGACCTCCCTCCGACCCAACCTAGGCTCCCCATGCAGCTGCCCCGCATGGCAGACACTAAATTCAGCTGCTCGGGGGTCACCTGGTGCCGTTTCCTTCGGAGCCAGATACTTGAAGCTGCCCTGGGAGACCCCGAGTCCAGTTATTCCTCTAAAGATCCTCTAGTCCAACCCCCCTGCTCAAGCAGGGACACATCTTCAGAAAAAAAAATTACTGCTTTTCAGTCCCTTTTTAAAAAGATTTTCCATATTTGGACCTCATTTAAATAAGAACAGACCAGAAAATGAACTAAATCAGTTAAATAAGTCAGAAGTCCCAGGTGAATACGGTTTTATCACTTACTTACAGGAAGGGTTAAAAGTTGCTGTGCACTTTAATTGCAGGTAAGTTGTTGTTATATAAAGGTTTATCAGAGAGCTGGGATATCAAAGTGGTCTTCACTCAAAACCACTCTTTGTTAAATCAGAATTTTACCTGAAACTGGAAACTCAAATTTAAGGTTTCTTCTTAGGGGAAAAAAAAACATATTAGAACTCTTTCCAACTTCTTTTTTTGATCCAAAACAATCCATAAAACCATTCAGTTAGGCCAAAAACATGAACTAAACACTGCTGTTCTTTTCTAATTGAAATAACATTTTGGCAAAAATCTAAGATCCTTCTTGTCCTGCAGCTATCTTAAGAGCACAGAGGACTATTTCAGCATGGCAACAGCGCTGCTTATAGTGGCTTTGCACCAGCAGAAGAGCAACCTCAAAAATCCCCAGGGAGCCAGGCTTGTGGTTAGAGCGATGTACATTACGGGGGAGCCATAGGTTCTATTTTGAGAGCATATTTAGGATTGCAGATCACATTCTTGTTCATTGCAGAATATACTGACTTAGTATCTTCTCCTCCTAAAACTAAGCCTCCCCTCGGCCAAAGGGGAGAGGAAAATAGGACTTAAAAATACCTCCCAAATGCCAGAGCAGCACCAAAACCCACAGGTTCCACAGAACATCGAATCTCAAGCCATTGGCTAACTGGGTTTTGCCTACAATAGTGAGGTTTTTCACTTCTAATTTTGCTTCCATCTTTTTTGAAAACTAAATTTGGATAATTTAATCTATGATGTTGATTGTTGCAGCTAGCTTTAAGAAAAATAAAGATGTACAAAAATTTGAAAAATAACTTAGAAATAATGGAAAGCTCTGTTGCTATTAGCCATGTTCCACACTCTAACAACTGGCTGTGTGATGAGATTGTGGGTGCTCAGCTGCCCTGTTGCACTGGCACATTTTGGGACTAAAGATGAGGAAAAAGTACCTGTGGATTTGCCCGTTTTTATGCAGATAGTCCAGCCCCTCCAGCACCTCCTTGAGGATCGTGGCTATGCAGGCTTCATCCAGGACTCCGCTCTTGTGCTCTCCTTTGGCCACTATGTGCTTTATAATATCCAAAACGGAGCCTGGGAGGGAAAAAGGAGAAGGGGGGGAAAGGTTAATATTTGAGCTTAAACAAGAACAACAGATTCACAAATAAATATAACTTACAAAAGCTGAAAGAATTTGGGATGGGAAGGAGGAAGCAAAGAGAGGACAATCAGTAGTTCCTATAAAAGACTTGGGATGCATCCTGCAGGGCTGCAGATCCTCAAGGTACCCGAGAACTCCCTGTGGTCACGAGGATCTGAGGAGTTATCTGTACAGGGAATGCGTGGAATGGTTGAGTGGATGCGGATGTTACAGCTGCTTTAAAATTGAAGAGTAGAGACATGGGACGGGAAATGGAAAAGCCAGGGGGCTGCCAGGACTCGCCCGCAGAAGGCAACTCGCTGGGTAGAATTAGATTCTACTTTTCAGCTCTTAAAAACTCGTAAAAACACTTAAAAAGTGGAGAAGCTGCAAGAAAAACCTACTGCGTTAGCAGACAACACTCTCCTAGTGGAAAAAATGAGACAAAGTATTAAAGAGCACAGAAAAGGTGCAATTTTTCTGATTTTTCACTGTATAAAAAGCTGGAATAGTCTAAATTCTTCCTTAGAAATACTAAATTATATTAATATTAAATGTAAATGATGTATTGCATGACAAGCTATGCTTTCTAAATGAAACTTTTTGAATTTCCAGGCAAAGGACCCATCATGCTGGTAGGTTTCCACTGCCAACTACTTTACTTTTGGATTCTCCCGAGGAAGCTGCAGGAGGCCCCTCTGCACACGCTAAGGAAAAGCTCATTTTGTGCCATCTGCACAGCAGAGGAAACCACCACACGGGCACACGGTGTCCCTTGGCCTGGGGGAAATGGCACGGGGCGCGTTGATCCAACAGCCTTCTGCACCAGACCGAGCGCTCGCGCAAACTATTTGCAGAAAAACATAAGCTCAATGCAGCAAATACCAACAAAATGGAGAAAAAAAAAAGGAAAAAAAAGCCATTTGATTTCTTCATTTTTTATTTATTTCCTCCAGCTATTTATTCAACAATATTCTTAGCTGTGTCTGGTCTTCCTTGCCCTTGTCCATGCATGGCAGCACGTTCGAGCCTTTAGCTAGCTCTGGCATGGATTTTAAAGGCAGTAGCCAAATATTTCCCTCCAACCAAGTCTGAGATTGTTACAAACAAGGTTGGGCTTCCCGCAGAGAGGGCAACATCATCCCCCTCCTTGAACATCTTGAGGACTCACCTGGGACTCGGCTGTGACATTCACATTTAGAAAGTACATGCTCACAAACCCTAATGCTTCTCATTTTGGCCAAGAACCTCTGTGCCACCTAAAAAAAAACTCTAGCAGGTCTCCAGTTTCACTCTTGAGCTTTTTCCCCCTCCTCCTCTCAAATATGCCTGTGTTGGGAGAACAAACTGTCACTTGTTTAGAAGTCCAGGGAAAATATGTGGTTCCTCACGTCCTCGTTTTGTCCTCTTTCCACCCACCCCTCTGTTAGAGGACTTTGTTCGAAACGGTTCCCTTGCCTGCAAAGGGCTCAGAGAACATGAGGAGGCAGATCAGATGGCGCTTGATTTATTTGGCCCAAACCCCTGTATTTAGCTAAGCTAGAGGTTGTGTTTAACCCAGAAAAGGAAGAAGAGGATAGGGAGCAAAGGCAGCAGGACACACACACGGCAAGACTTCTTTGTAGAAAAGCAACGTCTTGGTTCACACCAGTGTTGAGGAGCTGCTTTCAATCCAGCCTACGCATTTTCAAGCCCATTTTCTCCTCAATCCACTTTCTTGTTGGGACATTTAAAGAACTGGAGAAATCTGCCAGCCTTCAACATAAAAGAAGAGCAACAAGGCTCCCAGCCAAACGCTACGTACAGCAGAACAGCAACAGCAGTGCCACCTTCTTGGTGAAGAAAGCGTTATTCAACTCATGCCCACTTGTTTACTCAAGGGAAAACGTGTTTTTACAAATGGCACCACCACAGTGGAGCTGTATTTATTTTGCCTCCTGCAAAAATAACAGGAGTTGGGCACAGATCCCTGACTGCAACGCTGTAAGCACTGCCCTGCATGCTAGGGGCATTGAAACCAGGCAGCATTTCCACATATTGCTCCGTGCAGTGCTCGAAATCATCTGGCATTCTGGTTAAGCAAGCTTGATACGGAGTCATGGAGCAGCATCCGGATCCCAAAACAGAAACACTCAACTCTAAGGTGCTTTGAAACCAACAGACATGGAAACTTCACCGTGGAAGAAAAGTCTTCCCAAAGCAGACACTGCATTTCAGCAATAGCCTGAAAAATTCCAGGCAAAATCATTCCCAAGAAGCCCAGTCAAGCAGGATAAACTCCACAAGCCCATGGCCTTAGAATGCCCATGTGTTTTCCTCTTTCACCAACACCGTTGCACTCTCACCAGCGGCTCAAGGGCTCTCCTTAGCCTAAGGGAGAGGGTTGTTTTGTACGGAGCGGCCTGATCCCAGCTGGATAGGACATTAACTGCTGGAAATTAACTGGGAACATTCTGCTGCAGTGCCTAGAGCACGTGCTTTACAAGCTGATCATCCTGTACAAAAACACCAGCACCACCCCCAGCAACTTCCCATTTCTAAACTGGCTTCCAAACCAGTTGCCAGAAGTGGTGAAATTAAAGCTGATCTGAACTTAACTAAGCAGAGATTCAAGAACATTTTCATCCGTGTGGGTTTGTCCTCCACGTAGACAATGAGATTCAACAACCTGCAACACTAATGTGTCCTATACCCTGTGGCCAGGAGATGAGGTTCAAGCTGGAAGTAAGGTGCATGCTCTTTAATAAAGAGCAATAATCAGAAGAACAACTTTTTCAAGGAAAAAAAAGTCAACTATATTATCTTTAAAATCCAATAAAGCTTTTACCAATAAGGGTGCTTTAAAACATCTAGTGAAAAGCAACAGATTTTAGTCCAAAAAGAGAACAGAAAGAGGAGAGGAAATTTCATTTCAGAGATTGGTATGGAAAGAAATGCAGCTGTAAACAAACTCCTGCCCATCAAATATACATTGGGCAACTCACCAGCAGGAAGCCTACAAGGTGATTGTGCAATGTGATAAAGTATTTAGCATTACTTGTCACTCATCTTTAATTAAAGTGCCTCGCTATCTGCTGATGCCAACTGCCAACCATACTAGGGCTGCTCAAGGTAGAGCATCTCAGCGTGCAAACCGAACAGTTAATTGAGAGTTAAGTGGTTTTCCATTAAAACTAACACGCTCCATAATCTGCTTTGAAAGCTGCTAATGTAGCAGTAGTTCCTCTGACAGCAGAAGTCACCAGAGAACCAGTCAAACATAGACCTGCCCTCCCCAGATTAAACCCAGCCCATGACTCACTGCTCAGATCAACTCTGCAGCCGACCAAGGGGTCAGACCAACTTCTGATCAGTTGCAAGGGAACCAGCAACCAGCAGCTCTTTCTGGTTTTCCCCCAGGAGCGATGAGAAGGAAGCTCTGCAGTTTGGAGTGAGGCTACAGAATGACCCGCAGGGACTGCCTCGAGCTGTAGAAGGTAGAGCCTGACCTTGCAGAACCAAAGGGTGAATTTCTATCCGTGACATCTTCATTGCTCAGATGCTGCAAAGTCATCTATGAACAGATCAGTAGCCTCAATTTGGAGGAGGAGGGGATAGTCAATACTTCTTGCTCATTAAGGTGGGAGTGGAGCATCTGTCATACAAGGAAAGACTGAGTTGGGCCTGTTTTCCCTGGAAAAAGAGAAGGTTGAGAGGGAATCTGATCAACGTGTACAAATACCTGGGGGGGAGAATGTAGAGAGAAAGGGACCAAAGTCTTCTTAGTAGTGGTCAGTGATAGGACAAGGGGTAATGGGTACAAGTTGAAACATACGAATTTCCATCTCCATGTGAGGAAGAACTTCTTGACTGTGAGGGTGCCAGAGCCCTGGCACAGGCTGCCCAGGGAGGTTGTGGAGTCTCCTTCTCTGGAGACCTTCCAAACCCACCTGGATGCCACCCTGTGCCCTGGGTGTCCCTGCTGGAGCAGGGGGTTGAACTAGGTGATTTCTAGAGATTCCTTCCAACCTCAGCCATTCTGGGATTCTGTGAACCCACCTGAAATGGATGGCTCTTGAAACCTGGAAAATACAGCCCTATCCTGTGAAGTTGTCTACTTTCACCTTGGGCTACTGCAGTACCTTCTTCAGCAGCAAGATGAGAGTTTCAGCACCGTTTGCCACCTCCAAACCTGCAAGCGCCACTTGCTCCTGCACCCAAACTTGTAAACAAGGATCACGGCAATAACTGGAATCCCGTTTTCCAGGCAGGGTGGAGAACAAGCAGCCAGGAACTCCTGAAACCGCCTTTGCTGCTGGGGAAACCTGGTGCCTAATGATGCCCTTGGGGCAAGCAGTGCTGCTTGTTCCCGACTCACTTTCGGCAGCGAGTCCCGGCCAACAGCAGCGCTTCCTGTTCCCAACACGGAGCGCGTTTCCGTGACCCGTTTCCCTTATTGCCAAGCACGGGAAATAGCCCTTAAGGAGCCTGCTTCTAACGCTCCTCCTCAGGAGAGGAGCAAAGTACCCACGTGATGGTCGTTAACCAAGTTGCTTAACGTGTTGGTACTGGGGTACGAGAGCGGAGAAGGCGTGAAAACCTGAGGGGAAAGAACAGCTTGTTCAGAACAAGATTCCTGATAAATATAGAGCATTTTGGTTGGGGTTGGAGGATTTTTAGGTGCCCACAGAGGCAACACCAAGCAGAGCTAGTCACTGTGGGAACCACATGGCGAAAGTTATACTGTAACTCAAGGGAAAGGCAAGCAAAATGTAATTAAACCCTCTACCATTTCATTAAATTATTAGATCAGAATATCGACATTAGCACTGATTTGCCAATTAGAAACCAGGCATCAATAGGCTGGAGAACAGAGCTGGCCATCAGCAGCGTTTCACTATGTAATCCTGCTAGAACCAAGATCAGTCAGGACTGGGTTTATTTTCCTTCAATTTTCTCCTAAAAAAAGATTTTTTTTTCCTCTTTAAAAACAGAAATGGCAACGTCTCTACATGCTGCACACTCTGCAATCACGTACAAGCAGTACCCAAAAACCTCCCGTCTCTGACTTATCCCCTCCTTAATTGCTTGCAGTCTATTTGTGGAATCACAACTTAAAATTAAATCCTCCAGATGCACTTGAAATAGCCTGGCTCTGTCCTAACTACAAAATAATCCAGAGTAAACAGGAGGATTTCTAAGAAATTATGGCCTATCTTTGGGCCACGACTGACTGCTGAGTAGGTTTTAGGAGAGGCCAGATCAGAGATTAACATGGGAAAAGTAGGACAGGATGCCCCATTGCCGTGGTGGAGATATAAGGCTTTACCCTCTTGGTTTTCCTTAACTGTTGGATAAGCATTTCACCACATAATTGGGATAAAATATCCAGAAAGAGGTTGATCAGGTGCTCTTAGAAACTTTTGGAGCAGGTTCTAACTATTTCAATGCAATATTGTCCTTGGCAGGTTTCATTAGGTGCTTTCAAGGCAGATGCTGCGAGACCTCTAATTTTTCAACATTTAAGACATGTGCAATTTAAAAATACCAGAGGTCTCATTTTCTGTTGACCAGAGCAGTAAAAATTGTCTTGTGGGGTTAGCAGCTATCACAGAGCAGACAGCTGCTCTACGAGCAACTGTTCTGGGGACTCTGGGTCACCTGCTAAACTGGAGCTTTTCTTAAAACTCGGGAGAATTTAGGAGGAGCAAACAGGTCACAGCCAGGGGCAAAAAAAAGCACAGGAACAAAAGGACAGCTGCTTCTCTTCCTACTAAAGTCGTCCCAGAGCAGGACTGAGCACTGGAGAGCTTTAAAAAAAGGCACGATTAAAATTCAGGACATGGGAATGCCAGCAAGGCAAAGAGCAGGGCAGCACGAGGCTAGAAATAGCCGCTTTAGTTTAGGCCGGAGAAATATTGGACCAAAAGGGCAGGGCACTGAGTTGACACTGCTAAACTTGGATCCCCAAAATAAATTTTATCATTACAAGATAAGATCTGCAATTTTTACTGAAGGCAACACAAGGAAGATACTTCACAAGCCTGGAAGAAGAGTCAGGATGACTGGACACTCCAGCAGCCCTTGTCACCTCCAGCTGGTAACATCACAGCCACCTTTCTGCCCTGGGGAAGAACCAGGATCTTCAGCTCTTTGGTGCCAAACCAGCCAGCTCCAACTGCTTCCAGCAGGAACTCCAGCCAGTTGGGCTGCCTTGGCCTTCCTGCAGCTTATTAGCTCTTAAATGGCACTCTAACAGCTCAGCTGAACCTAGTCTCCGCACTGCAGTTAAGCCACTTCTGAGGGTGCTGTTGAGTCACTCAAATGATTTGAGTGCCTCAGATTTGGCATTTTCTCCCCTAGGGACACTTCTAAAATATTTGAGTTAAGATTTCAGTGAGATGAGTACAACCAGAAAATAGATTAAGTTGCACTTAAAACAACAAAAAAAAACAGAAGAAATCACAAGGCTTTCATTCAAGGCTTGTCTTTCTTGTAGGCTGCTTAAAGTAATATAAGTAGACTAAAATTAAACTTAGTTTTAAGCGTCGAGTATAGATTGACAGTGATGGAAAAGAAGCAGTAAGATTCTGAACTTTTACTCAGAAAAAAATCCTCGAGCATGGAAAAAGAAAAAGCAACTCTGAAAGATACAGCATGGACGAGCATCGAACCCGATTTGATTTACATTTGTTCATGTTCTACGAATTGTTAGAGGGAATAAAAGAAATTTTGCACCCTGTTGCTTTTCTTCTTTACAGTTCATTAGAAAAAAGCTCAAAGATTTTTTCCTGTTGAGAAATTCAGGTCATTAATTTTCCCTCTGGACTACAGATGACCACAAAAGTAGCCAGTTTATTGCTGATAAGAAGTAAGCTGAAAGGAATGAGGAGCACTTTTTAAAGTCTCTCGTTACACAAATAAATCACTCAGCCTCAAAACAACTGAAAATACGCTCATTAAAAGTGAATGAAAACACTCTTCAGTCAGGAAGTTACACAGATTTCTTCCCCATCCTCAAGACTGACTGTCCTGGAGAACTTGGCTCTGGGACCCAAAACGATGTTTCTGAAGTACAGCCAAGAAAAAAAAACATCAGCTGAGGAAGCCTTCTCACTAAGAAAAAGCAATGACAGGGTCCTCAGAGCCCTTCCCACATAGTGAAATGTTGATAAAATAGATGGAAGTGCAACCCTGACTCACAGAAGTGGCTTGAGGGGACTTCATTGCTGTTACTTGCTGTAGGACCTTGCTCTTCAACATGTGTGATGGCAAAAAAAGATTCATATTTATAGTGCTGCATAACCCCATGTAACACTTGAAGCCAGATCACGAAAGGCTGATCTTTTCCTTATCTCTTTCTGACTCAGATGGGCGTTAATATTGGTCCACTCATGGATCTGGTCTCACTTGGTGCATTCCTGAGTGGTTGCTCAACAGCAAAACCTTAACTTCTGAAGCAGCCTTGAAGCACGGAGCCCATCTATGCTCAGCAGATGTGGTGTGAGTTTCTCCACCAGCGTCCTTCAGGAGCGGTAGTTGTGACAACTGCTGGAGGCCACAGAGCAGTCAGAATCTGCTAGAACTGCAAGGGGGTCAAATACCAGTCTGTGAGATGCAGAAACCTACTCAAAGTGAAGAACATGATGACAAAGAGGTCCTTTTACACAACCGAGAAATGGGTTTGGAAACACCTTTCTTTTCTTCCTCTCTCAGAAGTTTTTCAATTTTTGTTTGCAGTTCCTCATTAGGAAACAGTGCTCCATAAAAAAGTCTTTTTAAGCTCTATGCAATAAAGCATGGGGAAAAAAAAGGCAAAACAAGCAGAAGCAACATTTGAAGGTTCAAGCGTTAGCCCAAGACTTGCTTGGTTCTGACCGAAAACCACCGTGCAATCACTAGTCAAGGCAGTTGACAATTTTCTTCCAAGAGGTTGCATGCACCCCTAAAAAAGGGGTCAAGAACAGAGCTCTGGTCTATCCTGCACCCTGTGTGTGTGAAGAACATCAGTTCTTCGTGTTGTAAAAACCAGGATCCCTTTTTATATGCATAGGCCAGGTCCCCTTTTTATATACACAGCACAAACGCTTACATAAACTGGCAGCAAATCCTTTCCTATACATGAACAGCAATCACATCGTGAATGACCTGACCAGTGAATGTCCAAGAAGACAGGGTAGTTCTTAATGACACACACAAACATATGGAGTACTAGAAACCCTTTAAACAAGGCTTTTATGTTGGTAGGAAACTTGATCCCCCACGAGAGGCCTGCTGAAATTCTCTAACCTCTTCACAGACGCATGTTTTATGGTCATTGTCAGGCTCTTGGGGAAGAGGCCAGCAGGTTTAGCCAGATTTTTCCACATCATCTGGCATTTTACAGTCCTTAATTCAGCCAAGAGCAGGGAAGCCAAGAGATTTTTTTTTTTTAAGCAAGAAAAATACTCCTTTTATCCCCCTCAGCTTTAAATCCCTTTTCACTAGAGTGCCAGGAAAAGTCAAGTCTTCCTACAGACAGACCAACGACTTAGTAACACTCCTCTTTCCTATCATCCCAAACTCAGTTTGGTTTCTTGTCTTGACTGCAGCTTTAACAAGTATCCTGGAAAAGATGATGCCATCCAGTTAAGCATTACTGATAAGAAGTTTCCAGAACTTCCAAAAAGTTTCAGAGTATAAAAAGACTTTTCCAAAGGGAAAGTCTTCCTGTCTCTGCACTGAATAGGTGGCAAATGGAAATTGCCCCAAGTATTCACAGTAGGTAATGTCCATGCAGGACAAATGGGCAAAGTGATCCAGCTATGAGGGACATAACTATGCTTAATCAAACCACATCCACAGTCTTGCTCTTCTGCCTTTTTAAGACCAAACACTGGCATTATAGGAGCAGCTCTGCCTAAAATAGAGGTGATTTAAGTTCCTCACAAGAGTAGCCAACACATAAATAAGCTAAATCAATAGACTGGCTGGTTACCAACAAGCCATCAGCACCATGCAGGCATCCAAGCTGCAAGTGAGAAAAGGTCAAGCAAATCAGCCTTGCAAAAGCAGTTGCCAACATCACAACTCCCATGATGAAGCTGGTGGGAGCGGTTGGGCTTGCAGGGGCCCCTTGCACCCTTTTCCAGCCCAAATGCTTGTGCTAGGCTTCCGGGTTAAGATGACGAAACTTTAATCAAGACAATCCAAGAAACACCATTTCAGATCCGTGATAAGATGATGCAAACAAGATTCAACTTCTGAAAGTTTAAAATGGCTTCAACTACAACATTACTTTGTTGATCTCTGAAATCACAACTTTCAGTTTTCAAATACACAAGTGAGTCACTCAGCAAACACAAGGCCAGCTATAAGAAATTCTATCATATATACAAAATAGGAGTTAAAAAAAACCCTTATCACGCAGTTATGCAGTTAGGAGTTACTACCAATATATATAAGAGAAGCTATTTCTGATCTAAATGTGTTGGAGAACTCAAGTATTATTCTTTCCGTATCTTAAAGTGGGAAAGTTGGAAGGAAGACAAAGGAAAGGGTATGACAAAGCCTACATTTTATGTTGCCTTTTAGGGTAAAGAAATTGGACCACTCACCTCCACTAAGCAACTTCATGACCAGCCAAAGCTCATCTTTCACCACGAAGGACGTGTAGTAGGATACAATGTTGGGGTGATGGCACTGACTCATGGCTTGAATCTCTTTCTGTAGAGAAAAACAAAACATTGCAAGTGGTGTCAGTGATTATCATTCCATGGGTATAAAAATCCCCGGAGAAATAAAGTCCAAATAGATATGGGGCAAAAAATGACACCTAGAAGGCAACCATTAAAAAAAAAAAAAAAGGCAATATTCATGGCATCTATCTTAAGGCTAAAAAACTCTTCTATGGTAGTCTAACTATATGTCAAGAAAAGAAAAAAGTGTAAGGGAACCCAACTGCAAAGGCAACACATTGGTCTGAACCCAAGCACCTGCTTCCAGCTCCCACAGGGTATTCCCAAGCAGTTACATTAGGCTGCAACCAAGGAGGTTCTCGCTGAAAGATGGAGTCAATGTGCCCTTACATAACAGGTCCTTAATCAGCTGAAGGTTATCGTTTGGACAAGAAGGGGAAATATTTGCTGCTGGAAAGAAAAGGGCCTCTTATCACTAACGTTTCTTCCCAGCATGAAAGCAGAGCGCTCAGCGGGGCTGTGGGCACAGGGGACAGCCACGTGTTCTGTCATGTTGGCAGGAGAAGGACAACAGTTTGAGATGAGAAAATAGCCAATACCTACAGTGTTCAATAAATGTGCTCTGGTAGGAGAGTTCTTGGGGTTTGACCATGCTTGGTTATAGGTTTTAGTTTAATGAGTGTTCTTTCAGTCTTAGTTAGGGGTTATGGAGTTCTTAACTGAGTGGAGGGAATAAAATTCCAGGAAACACTGACGGATTTTTTGTTATACAGGAATAAATGAACAGTTTGGACATTAAGTACCCCCCCCCGCCCCCGCCAAGTGCCACAGAAGCTTCACAGAAGGTGCACAAAGAGAAGCACCAACCTGCCAGGCAACTAATAAAACCTTTCTAAATAGGAAGGGATTTGAAGAGGTGGGGAGGAGGTTATTCATGTCACTACCCGAGAACCACTCCATCAAAGTAAATACGGCCTGAAACAATATCCCCTGCTATCCCGCTGCCTTCCTTGCAGGCACGTGCTCCGGGTCAAGCTCTTTTTCAGCAAGGAAATCTCCCCGCACCTTCCAAGCCGGTTGATGGCTTCCAGTGACGCCTCTTTATGACGCAGGGAACAAAAACCCTTGACAGAAAGATGGCAACAAAATGTTCTTTCTACTTCCCCGCTCCGAGTTTCTGCCAAAGGTTGGATGAGAATGAGACTCCTGGGTGAAATCTGGTCAGATTCTGCCTGTTTTGGGCCTTGTCCCACTTGTATAAAACCTGGCTGGGTGGAAAACCCTGCAAACATCCAGCAGGATGCACTGGGCTGCACGAAGCGAGGGCAGGTCTTTCTGCACAGCTCAGCCCTGGGAGCTCTGGTTTTCAAGCTCCTTTGCTCCAGGATCAAGCACCTGGGATCATTTTGGACCTGCTCAAAGCACTGGTTGGACTCTCACAAGAGGACTAAGCACACACACTACACACACAAACACAAGCAGAAACATCAGGGAAAAAGGTGGAAAGAAGCAGACAGGATGTTGAGTCTCCAGTTAACCAGTCCTTCCCCAAACCCACCATTCTCACAAATGCCCTAAAAGAGCTGTTTTTTATCCTTTTTTCCACCTAAAGGCCTCACAAAGTCTTTTGCACTGTCTCCCTGGGAAAGCACACACAAATATTACACATTTCATCCGTATCAGTTTAAGTCCACAGGAATTCAGGAGACAGCCATCAAGAAAAGCCCTGGACCGAGTTCACTGAGCAATCCAGATCAGTTTGCCACTTGAGCAGCGCCATAGCGGGGCCTTTTGCAGGGATCTGTGGCACTGTTAGTCACTGTCATTGTATTTTCCAAGATGTTCCTCACTTGTGTATTACCATCTGCTTCTCCCAGGGCTGAGAATCATTGTTTAAGAAAAAAATTCAGCCTGTTATATGCTTTAGTGTGCAAAGAGGAATAGGGGGAATAATCACAAGCCTGAGCTTGTGAAAAAGCCTATATCAAACAGTGGGTTTGAAGCACTGCCTTCCTCACACAGCCTTAACGTGGCTCTGAATAATTAACTGCATTGCAGCCCATAATTCCCAATGTTTTTATGTTACTACCAGCGAGGAAGAGCAGCAGCCGGGCAGAGCGTCCCCCCTGTCATCCCAGCCCTGGTTTCTGTGGTTTCCTTGGGTGATTTCACACCGGCTACATCAAACCAACCTTCCCCTTGGCCCCCCGAAGAGTGCCCATGGCCTGAGGCGCGACGCCCGGAATCCTTTCAACAGATGACCCCAAATCCCTGGGGATTTGGTGGCGAACAGGCATTCCCATCTAATTGAAACCACACCAATTCCACCGTATAGACAATGGTGGATCAGAGGGGGGCAAACGCAAGGGGCTGAGGAGCTGTAGCCAGGAATCCTAGTCCAGCGTCACCAGGGAGCTCCAGTTAAAAGCACATTTAACCCAGAAAGCAGGAGGAGGAAGGCATAAAGCAGCCACAGTCCTTTGCGTGGGGTAAGGGCAACATTAAGATGAGTTTTTTGGACAGTTCCCTGCTCTAGACTCACGTCTAGACACAATGGTTTGGAGGTGGTAACACACTCACCCTGGGCCACATATTTTTAATATCTGCACTGTCAAATTCCAAGAGCAAACAGACAGGGATCAGCTTTATAAAGGCTTTCATGTCTTCCCCTTAAAGGCTCTGGCAAATGTTTTCACTACTTCGGAGGGCAATAAAAGCTGCACTTTAAAGCTTCTGAAACTCTAATAAAACTGCTGCAAAGGACAATTTAGAAGCACAAGAAACCTATTAGTCTTCCGCGAGGCAGACAGTTCTGGACCCCTCTTTTGGAAGCCACTGGCACACAGCTCCACACAGAGTTAACAGCAGCACCAAGGCAAAGCCAGCACGACCCTATTCCGGACTATATTTAAGCCTGTATTTAAGCTCTCTGAACTTTCTGGCAGGTATTTTCCGAGGACGTTCTCACGTTTGCTCTTTGTTTTGCTTATCTGCCCCCGAGGCACATTTGAAAGGCGCCTGCTCTACGATGAAAGTCCCGCTTTATTTGGCTTCCCCTCCCTCGTGTCGCCGGGATCACAGCCGACGTAGGGAGCGCTCTGCTCACGTGGGCACCTGCGGCACCAGAGGAAGCCCCAAAGCTGCTCGTGTGGTGGCCACCTTGGAGCCAACGTGGCCAAGAGCACAGAGGACGAGGGGCGAGTTAGAGCCGGGCAGATGAGGTCCCCCTTCCACCGATACCACGGGCAGAGTGTTTGTCACTCACTTGGCCCCTTCGTTCTTTTAGGAAAGACTTAAAACTGAGGTTCTAAAGGAGCCCAAGGCAACCTTAACTGTTCAATTTTTATATTAGGTACATTTATATTTACATTTTTTTCATTTTAAAATGTGACATTCCTCTGTCACAGTCAACTCGAGCCGGTATCTGAGGGGAGATGGGGCTGGAGAGCCCAGAGCTCAACACTAGGTACCCCAGTGGAACTTGGGCATATGGATTATCCCGTGAAACTCCTTCCCTCGAGATATGGCTGTGGCAAACAGGCTGGCAGGATTAAAAGGGAATTAGGTTAGCACATTGGGAGCAACAGTGGGAAAGATCACACACACAAGAGTTTTTAAAGGGATAAAAAGCCTTCATATATCGGGACATAAATAAACCTGAGATGATGGGGAAAAACACACCCCTGTGGCAAGTCATTCCATGGTCATTCTTCAGTGTCATTTGTTCCTCAGTGTCATTTAACTATTGTCCCTTCTTCCAAAGTCCACACTATTGGAGACAACCAACCAAAAGAGGCAGATGGCTAGAGTGTTATGGAATAATTATTCTTTTGCTCCCATTTTTTAATTAATGTATGATTTTTCGTGGCAACTGCTTACCTGTTTATAGTCCCTAAAGCTGTAAAGCACAAGTCATGTTGCTTTATAACTACAGAGCCCTTCCAGCAGCCATCCTGAGCATGCAAGTGCAGGCAGGCTCACCCACTTTGCCAGCTGACATATCACTGACCTTTGCAGGGGCTCAGAATAACACCCGTGGTTGTAGTGCTGCACAACCTTAAACTCGTCCTTAGCACCTGCAGATAATGGCAAGCTGCTCAGATTTACTTCTATGCATCAGCTCCTGCTGGCCTGCTCCAAGTGAAGGAAGTGGGATACTTCTTTGAGGATTTCACATGCTCTTAATGCTGTTCTCCAACCAAACTATTCTAAGAAAGGGCACCAATATTTAGGACCGCCGAGCACCACTCCTGCTCCTACGTGGAGGGACCCTACAACCATGCAAGGTGCCAGCTTTGGTTTAAGTCTTCTATAAACTCACCATTGTGCAAGAAATGCCCAACAAGGGACATGGAATAACCACACAAACCCCATATTATCTGTTGGCATTGGCACTTGGGTACTTTTCGAGCAAGCAGGATGGTCTTAAAAGGCTGGAAATGCCACTAAAACAGCAATTCCAGGAGTTGGCCCTTCCTACAGCAGCCCATTGCTTTTTCCCCCCATCAACCCTGTGGGAGGCTTAATCCACTTGTAGGAACTACTCTGTTAGACCAAAGCCAGTTCAACACGCTGCCCAAGCCTTCAAAAGAAGGTGCAAAACCCTGTAACAGGCAGCTACACAATTATCTGCCCACAGGAAGGGCTTCTGACCAGCCCTAGGCAGTTAACAGTTGGCTTATGCTTTCAACCAGGGGAGCCCATAACCTTTTTTTTTTTTTTTTTTTTTTAAATAATCCTATCTGATGTAACCTTCTCAACTATAGGTTGATTTATTTTATCTCACACAAGGTTTGTTCTCCATAACATTGGCAGAAAGTTCCCCGGTTAATTCCATGGAGTTTAAAAGGGCAGGATTTGTGCTGTTCAGCTCTCCGTGCCCAGCTCCCTCGGTTCCCATCTGGCTTCAGCAATGCCAGACAGCGGCACCTTCCCTTCACTATCCCCTCGTGCAGACCTGTCAGGCCTTGTCCTATCTAATCTACCCTTTGGAGTCTCCTCCTAGGAGAGGCCACAGCTCCCATCCTCCTTCCCAAACCTGTCCTACTTCTCTTAATCACTCTGGGAAATGAAGAGGCAGCTGCTCCCCCTCAGCCAGGAAAGCCCTATCTCAAATACCTCCTGTTTTCCTCTCTGATGTTCAACGTCTTCATTAACTGCTAAACAAACAGCTCATGGCAACGTCTACTTGCAAAGCACAGAGGAAGAAAGCTCCTCTGGATGAAAGGAGCCTGACTCATGTTTTGACTATATGGAGATGAAGCAAAACCTGATGGACAGAGGGGAAATTTAAGGCCTTTTGGATCAGGAATGCTTCAAAACAAGGAACCACATCACATTTATACAGAGCTCAAGGTAGATGTTATCCCCAAAGGAGCAACAGCAGCGGAGCAACCAGCATCCCACATAGGAAAGAGGGAAAGGTAAAAGCAAAGCACAGCAGAGCCAGGTCTGGCTGTGCAACACGCTGCACAAACACCTAGATTATTTGTGGTTACAACATGACAAGAGGTAGAACATAAATAGTAAATCTGTCTGGATCCAGTGAAGGACAAAGCAGCATTTGACATCTCCCTTCAATGCAAAGTGGGGAGCAAGAATCATCACAGGACCCATGGGACTTCCTTGCTGCACAGCATAAAGAACCACAGGCCTTTTGGAAAAGGTCTATGAAGACTCAGTAACAAAAAAACAGCATCAAAAAGGAATTTCAGATTAACATCCCATGAAATCAGTAGGAAGAGCCAGATTTCTGTGTGTGTTACCTGCTGGGTTAGTTTCTTTACAGCTATTACTGCTTCTGCCAAAGAGCTGAATGCCCTTGACTCAGTTTGCTCCTGCTTTTGCACCAACCCTTGGCGCAATAAAATTAATCCTGCTAAACATGCATACGGTGCAGCAACAATAAATTAATCCAGTGCATTTGCCGAAAACACCCCGCAGTGTTTGTGAAGCACGTGGCCTGTCCCCGACCACCCACACGGCTCAAGTGGGTGCCAAGACACAAAGATCAAGATGGGGCTTTCAACCAGCTCGGTTTGTTCCACTGCCCTCATTTATCCCCCTCCGAATAAGGCACATTCCCAGGCTCTCGGAATTCCCTGCCTCCAGACACCTGCTGCAACAGGAGCTCCAGGGAAACTCAAGGCCACTTATCTTTGGCTAATACCAAAAGCAGAGCTTAGCCCCTCCAGATTAACGCTCCTCTTCTTCATCCCAAGGAAGGGGGTGGTTGGATAGGAAGGACATAGACACTGGAAGAGTGGTAGAAGTCAGTCATCCTCATCCTCAGCAGAGCTGCTCGTTTGCAGCCTCCTCCCACCTTCCCCTGAGCAACGTGACACTAGACACTGTCTGTGCTGGGCAGAGTCCAGGAACAAAGAAATCTGCTTCGTTAGAACAGTCCAGTGGTCAGAAACGCTGCAAAAAATAGAGCTTAAGACCCATATTCCCCTATGCAGCCCGGCCCCTGATGACGAGGCAGGGCTGTAACACAACAGCCCCGATTTACCAGCCAAGGACAGAACAATGTTTACTGTAAGCTGACTATTGTGCTCAGATACCCTCAGCCCAGTGGAAGGATAATGGATCTAATAAAAGCACAAGTTCCTGCTTTTAACTCTACTGGGGGAAGGGAGACTGGAAAGCAGGGTGCATTTATCATATTTGTGTTGCATTAGTTGCTTAAAATCATTATAATCTGCAAGGACCTTCATTTATGGGTTTTGGTTGAAAGCCAATTCTGCACAGCAAATAGTTGTCCCCCCCAAAAAAAATGTAACCGAATTGATCTGGGAAACTGCAGTGAAGCAGGACAACATACAAGATGGAAAAGCTTGAGAAAAGAAAAATATCGAAATGAGAGAAAAAGTAGAAGAGTACAGAGCAAGGGGAGATCAAGAACTTCCATCCTCTTGGATCTTGCACTTGGAGATGACAAGCAATAACCCGGCAAATCCACAACCAACCCAAAGGAAATGCCTTTTCAGCCAACTCCTCTGCATTGGTGTCCCACAAAGCTACTAGAGCTCTGAATCATCCTCCTCCCACCTCCCTCTGTGATTTTGGAGTCAAGAATATTCACTGTGGTGTTTTATTTTTTTTTCCCAAATAATTAAGAGATCAGCTTAAAGCTGGATAAATAAAAGTTACAGGTCAAAACAGGAATGACTGTGGGGAGAGATTATCCTCAAAATGCCTGGGGTTTGAATCTTGCATTTTCCTCTGAAGCATTAGGTACTAGTGGTTTATTACTGTTCCTTAAAGCAATTTAACTTCAAGAGTGGATAAAGACTTTGGGAGCACAATGAGAGCCATATTTCAAAGTTAAGGCTAAGAACCTGTCTTGAGAGATGAAGAGAATTAGTCCGAGGCCACCACATCAGAGACTGAAAAGGGAAGTCTTGACTTCCCACCAAAACGGACTCTAGGACTTGCCCACTGCCAGGCTAAGGAATACCAAAGATTTTACTGTGCAACATGATATTTGAGGTGCTATTTATTGGCTTTGGTTGGAAAGCGCTTTATCAGTGACACCCTCTTTATTCCCCCCCCCGTCCCCTTGTCTAACAACTTACTACCGAAGCAGTTGTTTTTCCTGGTCATTGCCAAGTTTGCCTGTTGGAGCCATTTTGCTGCCTGCTTTAATGACTATAAAAAGCTACAGAGCAAGTCAGGAAAAGTCTGATAGCAGGTAGAGGAAGACCTCAAATTCCTGCCTTCACCCCACACATTAACAAAGACTATTTTTTGCACAGTGTTGAGTCATAAATTTTTTGCCTTCATGACAGACCTATAAACAGGCCCGCAGAAGGATCCGAACTAAAACTGGGCACAAAACTGGAAATTTATGAGGGCTGACAACAGCAATTCACTGCAGTCCTACCCATAATAAGAAAATGCATTGTGAGGAATGGGTCAGCAAGAGATTTAAGATACACAATTAGAAGCACTTATCTAAAATTACATGCCAAGTCTCTGAGGCAGAGCTTTCTGACTCTAACCCTTTTAGCTGGAATTGGCAATTACTCAAACACTAATAATCTCAGTTACTTGATCGTGACAAAGGAGTTTGGAATATTACTGAAGCAGAGAGGTACAACCCACATAAAAGGCTGGCAAATAGTAGCACAGGATGATAGCAAGTCAAAAAAAAATGCCTGTGAAAAGGAAAGATCAAAAACCCCAAGAACAAAAGCTGTAGCAGTTGAACACAGGTCACTGCAGAGTCCCACACGTGCCCCCTCACAGGGGCACTGAGATGTGACTGCTTGAAAGGGGCCTTTTCTTCTCTCTTTACAAGAGCAGATCTGCAGATACCTGTAATGACAGACACTGCATAATGCTCAATTACTGCATGGAAACTGGAGCCTTGGCTGAAGTGATTTGTGGAAGATCATACACTTCTAGAGCTAGAACCACCAAAGGAGCACCTGGGTAAAGACAACACAAGCTACTGAGATGCAAGTGGGGAAAAAAAAAAAGCATCAAAAAAATGATTTTAAAGGAAAAGTGGCAAAAGATCTCAAAAGATCCCACCTCCCTGACTCCTCCCCATCCCTGCTAATCAACATTTACTATCACAAGTCCCATCCAAGGAAGGTTTGTCATCATTAGTGGGGACACCTCATGCTCACAGGAAATGCCTGGTGTAACTCCAGGGTCCTTCCCCATCCGAGGTGAAGGCGACAGCTGCTACACTACAGAATTTGGCTCATACAAAAACAGGAAAGGAGAAAGCAGAGCCTCACCATCCGGAAGAGAGAATGCAGAGTTAAGCTATCAAAGCTGCCTGCCAGAAGCTGTTCTCTATTGAGAGGATCTTAAGAAAATTACAGAGCTGCTGTTTCTATGGAATCTACCTCTTGTCCTGCACTCCAGATTAGTGGGAGTTTCCTCATGGCAGTCTGCAATATGCCAGAGGGATCCCTTGGCTGGCTTCAGTACCAGAAGCATGAGAGGAACAGCAGCCAATTTACCCAGTTTCTCGAGTAAAGATTTACAAGCTGGGGGAAAATGTGAAGTGCTGCAAAAGAGGGAAAGGAAGCAAAAATCAGCCTCTTAAATCTTGAAGTTCCTGGAAACAAGTCACTGTGGGTCCTGCTCCGAATGCAGAGCCACAAAAAAGGCTCACACAGAGCACTCAGCTCCAAGCAAGCCTGAAACTCCAAGCTTTTCCCAAGAACTGCATCCCACAACTTGTCTGTTGAGACCAGGCTCCCTCACCCTGCCAGCACCTCATAAAGGCAGTTTAGAGGCACCCAGGGACCCAGAGGACATCCCCCATGCAGGTTGGATGACGTACCAGGAGTTCGTCCATGCTCGTCTGGCATTTCTCCAGATTGATCCGTTTAATGGCCACCTTCTCCTTCTTTGGAACACAAAAGGCTGCCTGCACCACGGCAGTCGCTCCGCTCCCTGCGGGGAAAAGAGGACAAACAGTTAACAGCAGCTACAGGCCTTCTGCAGAAAGCAAGTCAGATGCCTCCATGGGAGATTAAATGCTAGATATAGTAGAGCCAAGTGAAGACCCAGGAAGGTCTATCCCATAGGAACAGTCCTTGTACAACCCGTAAGGCCAACACGGGTACAAGCACTGGGCTTACAAAATACCCAAATACTTGCTCCTATGAAGGATCATTGCAGCTATGCAGGCAAGAAGCCCAGAACACATCGTACGTTTAATAGAGGAATGATTTTTTTCAGTTTGCTTTTAAAGGAAAGGCCATTTAGGTAACACAGACTGAAACAAGCCCCGCTCTTTGCTACCACTGCTAATGAGATCTTTAAGTATTTTTATATACACTAATTGCTCCCTCCCCAACTCCCCTGAGTTCATGCAAAGACAGTAGGCAGCTTCATTCAAGTCTGTTGGGCTCCAGGTGAACAACAACTTAATGTCTAGGTTAAACACCACCACAGGAAAACCTGTAAAGTATAGGGAAGAAAATAGTTGTCTTTCAAGGTGCATCTGTTCCAACTGTTAAAACTACGCGTGTGCTCCGGGTATAACCTGCTCAACAACATCCTTTATATAGGACCGTGCAAAAGCAAGACTTAAAACTACCTCCTAATTGATTATAAACTTGTGGGTTTGGGGCTTCCAGGAATAGCTGCAACATTTGGTTTTCATCAACAGGACACCTCGTTGCTTTACTTGATCTCCTGTTCTTGGTTCTCCACATTTATGCACTTTGGTGGAAAGGAATCATAGGAGAGGGATAGGAGAGGTACAAAAAGCTTCTGATCTTCCTATTGCCAATATATTTTTTTTTTTTTTGGTTAATAATAGTTATTTTATAACTACTAATAGTAGTTAAAAAGGGGGTAGTGGGAAGAACATCTTCTTTATTATCCTGAGCATAACTCCTGAATCCTTTTGGACTGAGACACATGAAAAAGGTCATTTTGTTTGCTGGAACAAAGCACCAATTTTGCCACATTCTCCTTATCTTGGGGCTGCAAAAGCTTCCTCAAATTCTGCCAGGCCATTCCAGCACACCAGCCATTTTTGGAAACCATTAGCACACCTTTAGATTAAGTGAAAGCAAAGGCTTCCAAACCCACCCTAAAAACCAGGCTCGCCACCAGCAGCCCCAGTGCAGCGAGCTGCACAAAGCCTCAAGCAGACCTCAATAAAATGCCAGGTACAGCCACGAGCTTGGGATCCAGCCCTGAAAGACGCAGGAAAAAGCCTGGTGCGAGCTGAGAGGTGGCACCTCCCTTGGCCAGTAGCCACTGGGCTGGAGCCTTCACTTTATAAGGCACTGCAAGGGCTTTGGTTTGCCAGCCTGCACCAAAGGGTTTACATTTTGAGAGCAGCAAGGAGCAGAGTGGGAAATGCAGGGGTGTCAGTCCATGCTGCTTCAGGTAGCAGATGGGTTAAGTTCAACACAGAGGCCGTCTGCTCTCGGGCTGCACGTTAATGCAGGGCCTATTCCTGGCAGAGGGCACCATGAAGCTGCCAAGAGAAGCTGAGGTGGAATCAAAGAATAGCAACACGGGCACAAACACTAACATGGGACTTTGGAAATGAAGTTTGAGCAACCAGAGCAGGGCTCCGAGCAAAGCACGGAGGCGATGGAGGAGTCTAGGTGGATGTTTCACTAAACACACCGGGATAAAGTGTCGACAAGAGGCAGGAATGGTCAATTATATCTGTGCTTCCTAGTGCTGCCAGACCCCCTGCAGCAAGAGCTTTTGGGGAGCCAGGATCAATCCAGACATTGGTGCCTTTTCCATTCCTTCCAGCCCGGCAGAGACGCTGCCGCTCACGTGCTCCCAATGCCAACACCAGGATTTCTTCCTTTGGGTGTTTTGATGCATAACAGGGAGCAGCTGAACACACAAGCAAGGACACACGGACACGTCTGGGTGCTGGGCTGTGCATCTCTGAGGATGCCTCCAACCACAAGCCCTTGCCCTCCTTGGTTAGATCCAGGACAAGGGGCAGTGGGTATAAGTGGAAACACAGGAAGCTCCATCTGCATGCAAGGAAGAACTTCACTGTGAGGGTGCCAGAGCCCTGGAATAGGCTGCCCAGGGAGGTTATGGAGTCTCCTTCTCCGGAGGTCTTCCAAACCCACCTGGATGTCACCCTGTGCCCCATGCTCTGGGTGTCCCTGCTGGAACAGGGGGTTGGACTAGATGATCTCTAGAGGTCGCTTCCAACCTCAACCATTCTGGGATTCTGTGATCTGCATTATGTACCTTCTCCTCTGGCACTACCCATGTGCTCCGCATCAATGTGACAGCACCTGCACTTCCATGTTCCTGCCGGGAATCCCACTTGGCAGCTTCAGCATCACTCTGTTCCTAAGCACTCCAACACACCAGGATTGCTGGGCCAGTCAAGCCCAGCTGGTGCAAACACGGAGGGCAGGGACAAGGACCACAATGGGCAGCACTCCTGCTCATCACTCCTTTTCCAAGGGGAGCACAACCACAAGCAGAGACATTCCTTGAAATTGCATTGAAAACACCACTCCCAGAAGCAACAGATGCAAAGTAATAAGAAGCAGAAACACGCACGTTCCAGCCCTTCCCACTCCTCCGGGCGGCCCGCTCCCGGCTCGCTAGGACTTCAGGGCAAAAGCTTCTTCCCACAAAGCGTTTGGCCAGTGCCCCAGCCTACAGGGAGCTGATCTGTCCACGGGCGCATGGCAGTGTTATTGGAACAGCAGTAAAATCCCCAACTAAACCCTTCCTGGCACGAGGCAGGGAATCATCTGAAGTCGAGACTCCTCCCATTTAATTCCCTGCTGCTCCCGCTCCCCTGGCAGCTCTTCAGTCCCATCAGCACCTGCCACCAATTCCTTTTCTTTCAGCTCCTTCTAGGCAGTTAATTATAGAGAAACAATGAAATCTCCAAAGCCCTTTGAGGCAGGATGAAGGGAAGCCACAATGGGACGTGTCACAACAGGCTGCTCTTCAGTGGCCTCCGGGTGCTGAGCAAGACCCAGTTTGCCATCAAGGTGCTTAAGGTGGCAGAGATTCCCTGCAGAAGTCACAGCATCACAGCACCCTTATGGCTGGAAAACACCTTCAAGATCCAGTCCAATCGAGTCCAATCTCCCTCCTTTAAGGGAAGCAGGACGGTTTCCCTTCTGCAACTCGCCTGTTTTCACATAATTTCTAGGAAGCTCTGCTAACCTTTCATGGAAACCAGTGTGGATTTCAAGGCTCCTTGGAGGAGTGTGAGGGCTGGAGCTGCAGAGCCAGCACGGCCATGCACGCTACCTTTCCAAAGGAGACTTAAACACCAGGAAAGCCTGGAGCTCTCCCAAGGAGACCGGGCTGAACTGCACCGAGGCCTCCTCCCTGCAAAGCCAACTGCAGCCAAAGGTTCCTTCTGGCAGGGACAACAGGGATGACAGGGAACAGTCATCCCAAGCAATCACAAGACAAATATCAAGTCCTGGCTGTGGAATAGATCCTTCCCACAGCCCCTTCCTACCAGGACCTTTTGAATTAGTTCCATAAGACACAAAACAGAGCGGTGCCTGAGCTCCATATCCAACTCGCTGCTGGAAACTGCATGGAATTATAAGCACCCCAGGAAACGTGGGAACTTCCCTTCAAGGAAACTGAGCTGCTCACACTGACATTTCAAACAACAGGGACATCTTTCCTGGTAACCTTGGAGCTTCAGTTTTTTATCTTCATGTGCTACCAAATCCTCTCCCCACGGGGGAAACGGGCTCTTCCAGGGTCAAATGGAAGTTGCAGACAGCAGCCATGCTTGGCATGACAGAAATCCCTTTTCTCATACACATTTGGTTGGCTTCCCAATACTGAGGGAGACTTCCTATCCCATAGCTGGGATAGGAAGCCTACATGGCAGGCACCCAAGCCATCGAGAAGCTTTATGCTTCATCTTTGTGCCAAAATCCTAAAAAACTTGGGGAAAATGGTTGACCAGTCTCCGTGCTGCCAACTCCAGAGCTGCCTGCATACACAGGGTCTATTCTTGCTGCTTGGAGACCCAGAAACCCATCAGGCTGAAGGTGCTCCCTCAGCAGCAGCCAGCACTAAGGGGCTGCATCGCAAGGATGGCCCACAGCAGCTTCCTCATGGTCACGACTTTGGGACACGCTGGGTATTGGATCACTCATTTCCTCTCTTGATTCTCTCCATTTTTCCATATTCATTTCTGTTGGGAGTCCCAAAGAAAATCGTCAACAGCATCCGTGGGTCACGGGAACAAGAATCCACACTTACACACATAGGGTTTTGTTGTTTTGTTTGAAGGTCTGAGACCTAAGCAGGAGGTCCTGAGAAAGTCTTTCTATCCCAAACAGTCTAAGCAGCCAACCTTTGATTTCTTTCTTCTATTAAGCTTAACCACCATAACTTAGATCCTTCCACAGAAGTTATGCAGCTTATGCTCTGTTATGATGAGCTGCATAAGCAGCGAGATAAATGCAGTCTCCTTCAGCCCACATCCTTCCATGGGGTTACGAATATAGAACAGTGAAAAGATCCAGACGTGGAATCCCTTGCAGAAACTCATGTCTCTGTGGTAGGGAAGTCAAATCAAAGTCTTCACTCCAGACCACACAGATGGGCCTCCTAATTCCTGGGACCTTTCCTGCTTTAGCATCGAGACTTAGTATTTGTGAACCTGCAGGCACAGGCCTCGATGGGCAGTCTCAGTCTTCAGATACTTCAGCTCTTCCACAGCTACAAGCCAAAGAGCTGTAGGAGCTCTGCTTCATGGTTACTCCTTCCAGGGACAACACAGGAATAAAGCAAGAAACAAATAGAAAGAGAATTTCTTTAAAGGTCTTAAGGAGTACTGGGCAGAGACAAATCTGCCAGAAACTGAGCACCAAATTATACTTGGACCCATCTTCTGGCATTGTTGGGTCCATTCTCTATGGAGGCAAAATTCTGCCTGGTTGTATTTGCTCCACCTC